AAAGAGAGCTCTAACAACCTTTACATGTTCAACCTATGCTCACTAGTGTTTGCAGTTTTTTTGTTTATTTGTTTTTGTTTTTTTTTAATTTCCAAGATCCCCTATTAGCAACTAACCTTATTTAAAAGAAATTTTTATTTCTCTGAGGCCTCCCACTGTATGTACTACATCTGATCACGAAACCAGTCCAGTTTACAAGTTGGACTCAATCTAAAGCCAGGTGGCAACTGTTAGGGTCACTGAAGGAGGGATGCAGGAGGCCGAAGTGGTAAGGGGTTATAAATTTATTAGGTCATCTGGATGCCAGATGGGCAGAGCCCCCAAATGGCGCCAGCACCCAAAGGACAGGCAGTCGGAGATTTTAAAGGACTCTAGGATGGTTTTCCTGGGTGGAGCATTCTTTGGGCAGGTGTGAATCCAAACAAGGTCCTGAGGGGAAGGATGTTGGTCTTAGCAAGTGGAATGTGGTCTTATCGAAATGGAATTTGGTCTAAGGAAAGGGATTGTCAGTTATGAAGTGACCTAAAGGTCTGTCAGTACCCAAGAGGAGGTGTGATTCAATTATCTGATCAAACCTAACTAATTACCAACAATTCTCAACATGGAAGATGGTGTACTAGCCTTTAATCTAAACACAACAAAACAGACAAACGTTAACAAACCAGCAGTAACCAAAGAAATGTTACTATGGACTGACTAATAGAAGGCTGTGCACACTATCAGCATTTCCCAGTGTGGATTACACCAGCCGAACTCTGTGAATAGGGACTGCAGACTAGAACTGGGGAAAGGACTAAGCCAGCAAACCCCAGTCAATGGGAACTACAAACTGGAATGGGTAAAGGACTAAACCAGTAACCTCCAGTGAATGACGGCTTCAAACTGGCACTGGGAGAAAGGAATTTCAAACAACTGGGGAACTAAACTGGGAGCTCAAACTGACCTAATCTTAGATCAAGAGCTCAGAGCAAACAGCAGGAATTCAGAACACCAATGGCCCTCAGAAACAGCAAGACAAGAGAATTCAAAAAAGTTCTTGGACACCACACCTGTTTTTTGCTGCCCCCAAATGCATCAGAATTTTCCTTCAAATTCCACCATTGCTGACACCAAATCTGTTGAAGAACAAAAATTCAATCAAGCAAATTTAAAGATCTAATTGTGTTGAAAAAGGTGGGGTCTTTCGGGAGCAGATTTCCTCACTAAAGTAGGTAAACCAGATGGCTTAAGGTCACATTCCTGGGAGGGGCTGAAAACAATTAAGTTTAAGTTTGTTGTGAGGTGGGGCTGGGGCAAGTGATGCCACCTTGTTTGTATTTTTTTTTTTTTTACCTTGTTTGTTTCTAACAATTGGGAAAAGAGAAGAAAATCTGGTTAAAGGATGCCGCTTTCTCACAGTCCTATTTTTTTAAAATATGTTTTATTGATTTTTTACATAGAGGAAGGGAGGACAAAGAGAAACATCGATGAGAAAGAAACATTGATCAACTGCCTCCTGCACACTCCCTTCTGGGTATGTGCCTACAATCAAGGTACATGCCCTTGACTAGAATCGAACCTGAGACCCTTCAGTCTGCAGGCCAATGCCCTATCCACTGAACCAAACCAGTCAGAGTTCTCACAGTCCTACTGATTCCTGGCTATCCCTTTCCCATTTCCTTGATGACAGTGTTTTAAACCAAATAACTTGTTTCTCCAGGCTATTATCCAAGGGAAATAATCCATAGGATGGATAATAACTTGTGGGTAATAAGAACTATGACTTATATTCTGGCCTCTAATCACCTGCAGATACTTCCCACTGCCTGAACCCATGGAAGATACAAAGGAGGGTCAGGGGTCTATTACAATCTAACAGGTCAGCCTTCCCTGACACAAAAGGAGGGAAATGGTGGAGAGCAGATATGGAGGAGCAAATAGAAGACTGGTGAGGTTGTTTCTGAGAAGCAGCTGTCTGTGTTTAAAAGACAGACAAGTAGCCAAATTCCTTGACTGGCATTATAGGCATTGCTCTACAGTGAAGATCCCAAACACCTACTGCTGAGCTCTTTATAGATAGACCCCTTGGGAACATATTTACCCTCCAGTTTGTCTCCCTCTCCAAGCACAACTATTTCCTCTTGTGTTTCTTCAACCTTTATGTTTTTCACTTTAATAATAAAGAGGAAAACTACTGTTAAAGTGAAAAACCACAGTCTCAAAATGGTGTCACTTTTGCTAAAATTTCATGATACCAAGCCTAGATTAAATTTTTTTCAATTTTTTAATTTTTTAATATATTTTATTGATTTTTTTTGTTTTATTGATTAGATTAAATATTTGATCTGCCCCGCTCTGTTGCTCAGTGGTTAAGAATAGAGCATAGACCAGGAGGTCACGGTTCAATTCCTGGTCAGGGTATATACCCAGGTTGTGGGCTCAATCACCCATGTGGGGCATGCAGGAGGCAGCCGATCCATGATCTCATCGTTGATGTTTCTATTTCTCCTTCTGATATACTTGCAGTTTCAAACTGGACCAGAAACACAATCTTAATCAACCTGTTTGGAATTTTCTGGTCAATTCCTATGAGGTAATCTCCATAGAAGGAAAAGGCAATCTGCATGATAAAAACCCTCCTTTAAAAATGATGGCCTGGCCCATTTTTTTGTTAACCCATTCCTTCCCCTCCCCTCCTCCCTCCCCTCCCCCCCAGCCATGCCCGCCGGGGCCACATAACATTTTTCTCAACTGAATCAACCTTAAACTAAGGTGACCAGACCTCCCACTTTGGGCTGGACAGCCACGATTTCTAACAATTTGTCCCACGTCCCGCGGCGTTTTAAAAAATCATTCCGATGTTTGGAAATTGTTAAAAATCGGGACTGTCCCGCCAAAAGCGGGACGTCTGGTCACCTTACTTTTTGGGAAACGCTTAAACCCATATATGTAGCCATGCACCTCCTAATAATGTTTCTGTGAATGACATATATGAAGGTAGCCCCATAAGATTATAATGGAACTGAAACATTCCTATCACCCAACGATCTCGTAGCCATCATAATGCCATAGTGCAACACATTTCGTGTTTGTTGTCACGCTGGTGTAAACAAACCCACTGCACTGCCAGTAGCAGATACAATTATGTATGCGAGACATAATACTTGATAATAAATGACGATATTACCGGTTTATGTATTTACTATATTGTACTTTAGAGTGTATTCTTAACAATACACACTATAGCATACAGCTTAGGTGTGTAAGCACACTCTATGATGTTCATAAAATGAAGAAATTGCTAATGACACGTTTCTCATAATATGTCTCCATCGCTAAGCAGCGATAGTTAAATAGCTACAGGTAAAATATAATTGTGTTCTCTGAGCCTCATCAAGTGGGAATGTGTTGATAGGCTTTTGGGAAAAAAAGTCAGGCATTAACTAGCAGGACTCCTAAAGGCTGATTAGGAGGAGAAGCAGCTGGTTTCTAGTTAAAAACACAAAAGCTTCAACAATAGAGGGGCTAGTAGAGGGCACCCCTCTGGGACTGTGGGTGCAAATAACATCCCTCTTGAACTAGAAACGGATTTAGATTGCTTAGGTCAGATAAATTGGGCACTAGTTATATATGAAAGGTTTTATTTATAGCTGTTGTAATATTTGCATAGGCATAGCTGATTAGCTTTACGAAGTGTGCGACTCCCGCAGGTGCAAATCGTCTGTCTAGTTTGACAGCCCAAGAGCGGAGCCCATTTCCAGCAACCTCGCACCCCGAACGAACGCGAACGTTCTCAGTAACTCAGGAATGCACTTCACGTGAAGCCAATGTCATCGCTCGTTGATTTCAGTGGAAATTAGGAAGGTCTTACCGGATTTTTAAAAATCAAAACGTGTCCTGGGAGAAAACATTTGTGGCGGCATTAAGTTTGTAAGCAAGTGTTCTTAAGAAAAGATACTTTGTTTCCACTCAAGAGCCCTTTCCATTTTGTGGGTTGGACTTGGGGCGGGGAAGCGCACTAAGCTAACCGCCTGGGCAAAGGTTTCCCAGCGCCTACAGATGGTACAGTTTTCATTTCGGACGAGGCTTACGATTGCCGGTGGCCGCGGTGCCCCAAGCGCCGGGGAGGCAGGGGCCGGGGCACTTGTTCTCACGTTGGCTGGGGAGGCGATTCCGGTTGGGACAGCGCGGCCGGGTCCGGGGCACCTGCCCATTGGGGAGCGGCCCAAGCTGGGCGCCCGAGACCCCCGGGCCCCGCCGCGGGACGGCTCCGCCTCACCGCCGGGTCCCACGTGCGCCGCACAGCACGCCCCGCCCAGCCGCAGGCCGGCGACCCGGTCCGCCCCGCCCCGAGTCACAGAGGCCGGCTGCGCGCCCCGCCCAGGCGCCCGCTGCCCCGGCGGCCCCAGCCCGGGAGCCGGGAGTCGCCCAGTTCGCCCTCCCTTCCCCTCGGCGGGCCGCTGGGGCGGGACCGGCCCTCGGGGCGGGCACGTCCGTCAGCCTCCGCGGGCGGCGGCCGGGCGAGGGCCGCGGCCGGCGAGTAGCCACGTCACGCTCCCCTCGGCCCCGCCCCCGCCGGCCCCTCGGCCCGCCCCCTCACGCCCCGCGAGCAGTTACCGGCTGTTGGGGCGCGTGCCGCCCGCACTCCGCTAGAGGTCCTCGGGCGGCGCCTGCCGTGCTCCTCGCTGCCGGCGCCAGGTGACGGCCGGCGGCTCGCGGCTCCTCGCGGCCGCGGCGCCCGGCGCGGGTTGGCCGGCTCGGGCGTGCGTCGCTGAGGCGGCCGGAGCCAACGGGCGGTTAGCGCTCCGTTCGACGCGGGGAGGGGCGGCACCCCGGGCGCTGCACGGCCTCGGCCGACGCGGGCGGCGGTGGCGGCGGCGACGGCGGCCGGGTTCTCGGGCTCTGTGCCCCAGGCCGGAGCCAGTGGGTGCCCCGGCGGAGAGACGGGCAGCCGGCCTCCCTGGCCCCGGCCTCCCTGGCCCCGGGCCTCCCGCGGCTGGGGTGGCTGGGGCAAGGGGACCATGTCCGCTCGCGCCCCGGTGCCCGCGGCTCACTCTCGGGAAGAGTCTCCCGCCGCGGCGGCGGCGGCGGCTGCTGAGAAGGAGTCGCTGTCGCCCGGGCTGAGCCGGCAGACCGAGCCGCTGCCCCCGCCCGAACAGGAGGGCAAGCAGGCGGCGAAGGAGGAGAGGGCCGTCCCCGCCGCCGCCGCCGCCGCCGCCGCCGCCGCCACCGCCGCCGCCACCGCCACCAGCGCGGGGGCGCGGGGAGAGCCGTCGCCGGCGCCGGTGCTGGGCCACAGCGTGCCCCAGGCGGCCGTGCCCGTGAGGCCGCTGGCGCTGCACCTGGCGCACCGGGCGCGCGGGCCCGGGGGCCCCTTCGGCGGAGAGCCGCTGCCGCCGCCGCCGCCGCGGGACCCGCCGGCCGAGGACGCCCGGGAGGAGGCGGAGGCGACGGCCGGCTCCGAAGGAAAGCCGCCTCTGCCGCCGCCGCCGCCGCCGCCGCTGCCGAAGGAGAACCCTTGGACCAAGAAGCCGCCTCAGCACCTGTCCCCCACCGGGTCGGAGCCGCCGCCGCCCCCGCTGGAATCCCTGGAAGCAGGTGGGCGGCCCCCGCGGTGGGCGCCGGGGTGTGTGTGTGTGTTTGGGTGGGGGGTGGGGGGGGGAAGCTGCTCGCGTAGCGACCGGGGCGGGCGGGCGGGCGGGCGGGGGAGGGGCAGGCCGCCTCGGGCTGTCAGTCCGAGGTGTTCTGTGCCAAGGTGTCTGTCATTCACCCGGCCCATTTACATAAATGGACATCTGGACGCGGCGGCTGCAGGAGGTGGGACCGCGGCTCCTCCCGGGCCGGCGGGGGAGCCCGGAGCCGCCGGGCGGGCGGGCGCGGCCCCGCTGGCTTGGCTGTCTGTCCCCACGTGCGAAGGGACGCGGTCGGGAAGGCTGAGTTTAGGTGTAGCTGCTGCAGGTCGTCGCCCTCGTGGGCGTCTTTTAAAACAAGCTGTGAAGCAGAAGGGGATTTGTACGTGGAAGCACGGCTGTGTTTTATTTTTTATTATGAAATAGTGGGTGAGCTGGAAATGTCAATGTTTTCAAAACAACTACGTAGTCGGGTGCAAAATGAGTCTCTGGTTGCTCCTGAACATGTTTTTGAGTTATGATTGGGTGGGAAATAAAAGTAGGATAGTTGACAACGAGGGCGGATCGCCCAGTAGGGAAATGGTAGTCTTCTAACATTCATATCCCTCCTGAGAGGGAATTAGGTTATGTCACTGCCCTTGAATGCAGACCAGGTGGCCTTGGGTACTTTACTTGGATTGCAGCAACTGCATTTTTGTTTGAAAGTTTAAATGGAAATAGTAAAAACCAAGACAAAAAAAAAAAAAAAACCTTTGTAAATTAAGTTGTAAATCAACTGAACTTTTATTTATTCAGAACTTTAAAAAAATTTTTTATTGATTAAGGTATTACACATGAGTCCTCATCCCTCCATGTTCAGTTGAACATAGACATTACAGATCTTCACTTTTTCTTAAAATTAAAGGGTAGCCGTAGGATAGGGAAATACGGGGCATGTTTATAGATCTGTGGAGATCAGTTGAAATAAAGGTATAGTGTAAATGTAAGGTAATTATTGTAGACATGCATTATAGTATTGTAGATATAAAGTATTTCTTCAGAGGAACTACTACAGTTAATTGATTTCTGTAGCTTTTGCACAGTGTAATGTTCATCATTATTAATAATTTGTGACTTGGAGAAAAACTACTTAATATTTTGTTTTAAATTTAATATTGTTATTCTTTATAGTTGCAAAAGTCTACTATTACTAACTGAAGAGAACAAAAATCTTAAAGTAAAATGTCCATAAAATTAGCTAAGAGAAAAAGCTAGTTAATCTTAATGGTTATTTTATCTCCCTACTTACTAGACTTACCAGTTATACATTTTACTCAGTGAACTATCAGAAAACCCAAATTCTTTGTTGGCTATGAAATCATTTTGACAGGGTTTTTTTTTAACCATTAAGGTAAGACTCAGGAGTTTTAATTGAAAATGACCATGTGAAAAGTAGTTAACAGTTTAGAAAATAAGTTAACCTACAGGTGCTTTCATTGGGTATCTCAATCCTTGTTGGGGATTAAGAACATGCTAATGCTTGTTGTATAGTGTGGTTCATGAGAATTTTAATTTTGTGGGTGTGTTTCTATAGGCAACTCTTTTTCTTGGAATCTATTCTCTTCCTGTAGAAGTTATATTCTCCAAACTTGGAATAACTTCGTAATTTCTCTCTCTAATCCTGTTTCTACACTGTCCTACTACAATTTTTATTTGTAGTTGAAGAATACTTAGGTAATTTAAATAAGAGAATGGTGTAGAAATGCACTGTATGAAGGACAGGGTTTTAGTCTAGATGTTGTTACTACCTTGCTAAACTTTTGGCAAGATTTCTGGGCCTTATAAATGAATGAAGTGAATATATTAATCTCTTCTAGTTTCTAATACCAGAGTGTCATCTATATATAACTTCATAGTCTTGGCTTCCTAGGCAGATTTGCAGCTTCAAGAATAATAAAATAGCTGCAGAGGACCTTTAGTGTCCAGAGTAGGTGAAAACTAAGGAGTGTTAAATTAACACAACAATCTATTAATATGCCTGTAGGATATTAGTTTTACTGGGATAACAAACTTAAACCATATCTGTCATGTCCAAACCTGGATTTATAGTCACTCTCTTGATGAGGTACAAGTATTCCATCCCAACATACTGCAAGAAATTTTATTACCAGAGATAGACAGAAACATTATAGCAAATGTAGGGGAGTATTTCAGGATTGTTAATTATGAATTTTCTCTGATAGGACCTGCAGGTAAAGGATTATTGTTCTTTCAGTTCTCCTAAGACATTTCTATTTTGGGGATTGTTCTGGCCTGTATATTGCTGTTTCTGGTAATACATATAAATCCCTCTTTTCAACCAAAGCCTGGGCCAACCAGAAGTACTAAAATAGTGCCAATGCAGTTTTGAATTCATTCAGGAAACCAAAAAGAATTATTCCTCAACTTCTTCTAGTCCTGTTTAAAGTAGTTTTATTTATTTTGTTAAAATCACAGTATGGGGTTTATTAATCACTTACTTTTAGCCATGGTTATATTTTACATATTAAAATATCAGCTTTCTAGCCCTGGCCAGTGTGGCTTAGTTGGTTGAGTGTCATCCCATGAACCATAAGGTCACTGGTTCGATTCCCAGACGGGGCACATGTCCAGAGTACCTGGCTTGATTTCCAATGAGAGAGTATGCAGAAAGTAGGCATTTAGTGATTCTCCTCCCTGCTCCTATCTCCACCCCTTCAGGTCTGCAACATCCTATTGCCTGTGTCCATGGGCTGTGTATATAAGTTCTTTGGTTTATTCTCATCCCTCCAACTGCACATTGCACAAATTTATCTTATTTCTAAAAGTTCTACATTTTATGCAGATATTCATAATATAACTTTTCCATATTAATGAATGTAGAGATTACTTATTTAAATAGTTTTTTTTTTACTGTATAAACTGCAGTGACCATCTTATATAGCATCTTTATATCTTGTCTTAAGTTCCCAAAATAAAATTGCTTTATTAAAAGGTATATTTTCTTCTCTCTATATATAAAAGGCTAATATGCTAAGTATCCCCTCTGGAGTTCCACCAGGAAACTGGGAGTTTGATTGCTCTTGCTATGACATGCATTGATCACCAGTGGGAGGCACAGAATGAAGGAAGGCTTAGGGACCCTAACCATGCATGAATTTCGTGCACCAGGCCTTGAGTTCTATCTATCTATCTATCTATCCATCTATCCATATAATATGTGTGTATATATGTATAGGTATATGTATATATATGTTTAAGAATATATATATACTTAAAATATATATTTATTGATTTCAGAGAGGAAGGGAAAGGGAGAGAGGGAAACATCAGTGATGAGAGAGAATCATTGATTGGCTGCCTCCTGCACGACTAGGGCTAGAGCCCAAAATTTCAGTATGTGCCCTGACTGGGAATCGAACCAGGACCTTCTAGTGCATATGTCAATGCTCAACCCCTGAACCACACTGGCTGGGGAAAAGGTATACATTATATTTTAAGTGACAGATTATCATTAAAAGATTATACTAATACTATACATTGTTGCCAACAGCTTGAGAGAGAAATGTCCATTTCTGTATAGGCTGACCAACACTTGGCTTTTTTTTTTTTTTTTTTAAGTTTGTGTATATATATTTATATTATTGATTTTAGAGAGGAAGAGAGATAGAAACATCAATGATGAGAATCATTTATCAGCTGCCCCCCACACGCCCCCTACTGGGGATTGAGCCTGAAACCCAGGCATGTGCCCTTGGCCAGAATAAACCCTGGGACCCTTCAGTCTGCAGGCCCATGCTCTATCCAATGAGCCAAACCAACCAGGGCTTTTTAAAAAATATATATTTTTTTATTGATTTTTTTTTTTTTCCAGAGAGAAAGGGAGAGGGATAGAGAGCCAGAAACACTGAGAGAGAGAAACATCAATCAGCTGCCTCCTGCACATCCCCTACTGGGGATGTGCCTGCAACCAAGGCAAATGCCCTTGACCAGCTTCGAACCCAGGACCCTTCAGTCCCCAGGCTGACACTATCCAATGAACCAAAATGGCCAGGTCAACACTTAGCATTCTTTTTTTTTTTTTTTTTTTTTTTTCCATCAGTATGATAGGGAAAAAATGTTTTGTTGTTTTAGTGCACTTATTAGTGCATTTGAGTACCATTTCATGTTTGACCATTGTATTTCTTTTAGGATCACTCAGTTTCTTTCTGTTGTTATTAATTCTCACCTGAGGATATTTTTCCATTGATCTTTAGAGAGAGAGGGAAAAACAGAAAAACATTGATGTGAGAGAAACACATTGATTGGTTGTGGAGGATCCTGCAACCAAGGTTTGTGCCCTTGATTGGAATTGAACCCGGATCCTTTGGTCCACAGACCAATGCTCTATCTACTGAGGCAAACTGCCTAGGGCTTTTAAGCTCATGATCATCCTTTCAACCATAAGAAGATTGGGTTGATGAAGTGGTGTAAGTTAGCAACTCAAAGGACTTCCTGATGTTGAACTTGAAATTAGAGGGATGGTGTTCACACAGTTGGCATTTCACTAGTGCAGTTCTCTCCCCTCTACACTCTCCCTTTTCTATCATTGGTAGCTTTTCCCTGTAAAGTTGACAGCATGAGGGAGCAGTTGTGGATAGCTAGCTTTTAAAGGGAAAAAGTGCTGGTTTTGAAAGTTCAATTCTTTTTTCTAAACTTCTTAATCAGGAAACTTGTTTCTAAGAGAGAAATTGGGATGTTGTAACAGGAATGTTTTAGGAAAGTCTTCCTCTTGGAAAAGTAAAGCTAACTCAAAGGACCATTTAGTAACCAGTGTTAAGAAATCACTATCCTAGAATATCCAACCACATTGTCCAACACAATTTATCACATCCTCAGTGATGAGATTAAATTATGGTAAGGAAAAATGCATATGAACATCCCAATTACAATGTATACATAAAGATACTCCATTAATAAACTGTCAGCATTATAAATTCCATTGTTAAATGTAAAAATTTCCCCATTAAAGAGGAATTAAAGTTGAAAGATTAAAGTTTAAACAAAAATGCAAAATTTTTGGATCCAAAAGAATTGACTAAAATAAAAACCTTTTTTTGTGTGAAGAAATAAAGTTCAAGATTGTTCCTCCCCAACTTCTTTTAGCTAGAGATTGTAATCAGTGTCTGGATAGAGTATGTGGTAATACTGAGTTTTAAATCAATAGAAAAATAAACTCTGTCACATTCAAATTTTTTTTTCATATATATGTGAATTTTTTTTTTTTTTTTTTCCCCAGAGAGGAAGGAAGCAAGAAAAGCGTCAATGATGAGAGAGAATCATTGATCGGCTGCCTCCTGCACATCCCCTACTGCGGATCAAGTCCGCAACCCGGGCATGTACCTTTGGCCAGGATGGAACCTGGGACCATTCAGTCCACAGGCCGATGCTCTATCCACTGACCCAAACTGGCTAGCGATCTCCAGTTTCTTAATAATTTCATTGTGTCATTCAGTATTGAAATTTAAAAGTTTACTTTGGTTTGCATGTGGCCAGAATAATTTTATCTTTAACTTCTGACCTTAATTTTGTGAGTTATGTCTAACTTGTTTGTAATAAAGCCATAAAAATTTGCTTGTGTGGCCTATTCCTTCTTACTTTTCATCATATCAAATAGTTTATATAAGGATGTATTTTGTAACTACCAGGTTAATTTACTTCACTTAGCACTATTTTGGGACATATATTTTTTTAAAATATATTTTATTGATTTTATACAGAGAGGAAGGGAGAGAGATAGAGAGTAAGAAACATCGATGAGAGAGAGTCATCGATCAGCTGCCTCTTGCACACTCCCTACTGAGGATATGCCTGCAACCAAGGTACATGCCCTTGACTGGAATCGAACCTGGGACCATTCAGTCCCCAAGCCGAAGCTCTATCCATTGAGCCAAACCAGTCCCAGCTATTTTGGGACATATTTTTAATTTTCCTGTGGGAAATGTTCCCAAATGTTCTATATACCATATAACTTTATAAAACATAGTATTTTATAAAACATGCTTCAGTGAAATTCTAGATAATATTCAGGCAAATATAATTTTTATTTGTTTTTTTTCTACCCCATTTTTTGTCCTACTTGCTCATACTTTTTACTACTGTATCTATTTTAATTTTATTCTTAAGCATATTTACATATGCCTATACATATATGTGTGCCTAAAGTATAAAGAATAAAACTAATACTTGTGTATTCACTATTCTGCTTTATTTTTATTTTTATTTTAAATATTTTTTTATTTCATAGAGGAAGGGAGGAGAGATAGAAACATCAAAGATGAGAGAGAAGCAGCCAGGGTAAGGAAGGCCTATTCTTGCACGAATCTTCGTGCATCTGGCCTCTAGTTAAATATATTTAATGAAGTGATTGTAAAAACAATTCTGTGTGTCTTGTTTTGTTTTTTTTAGAGCTCAGTTCCCCAAAAATCATAAAAGCAGGAAAACTCAAGACAAAGAAATCCAACAAGGTAGGTCTTTTACACAAAGAAGTTCTTCAGTACTCTATATTAATTTTGAAAATCATTGTTCTTAGATTATTGTGAATCTTCTAGTTGTGTTATATTGTTGGTAATTTGAAGTTAATATGCTACAGAATTGTAGCTTTTATATAAAACCCCATATGCTTCTGTTAATCCTGTTTATATTAATATAGTCAGTGTTTTTAAATAGTGCTAGAGATCATAGGCCAAGGCCTTATTGTTTCAGTGTTCTGGTGTTTGGAGAAACTTGGATTAATTTGGCAAATGCCTGCATATAAATTGAATGTAGGTGATTTTAAAAATTGCTTTCACCTTTAGAAAATATTTTTTCTACTTAAAATTTCTAATTTGCAGACATAACACCTATTTATTACTTCTTAGGCTAGTGATTTCAGCGATATGGCGAATTGGCCAACACCAAGTGAATTAGTGAACACTGGAGTGAGTATTGTTTAAGGCTTTCTTTCCATATAGGGAAAAAATTTTCATTTCAACATGCAGAACTTATTTTACTTCAAATTTAGAGAATTACATTAATAAAGAGATGTTGAAAACTACCCTGTCATAGTTTTGCCCATTTCATATAATGTATCTAAAGCCCATTTATTTTATGTTTCAGAATTTATATTGCTTGTTTTTTCTGATTTATAATATTTCCAATGTGTTTCAGTCCTAACTATATATATGTACATATATGATATATGTATGTCATTGATCAATAAGTGTTCAATGAATGGAATTTTAAATATATATATATTTTATTGATTTCAGAACAGAAAGGGAGATAGAAACATCAGTGATAAGAGAATATCTTGATTGGCTGCCTCCTGCACACCCCCATTGGGGATCGAGCCCACATGTGCCCTGATTGGGAATTGAATCATGACCTTCTGCGCTGCGCCACCTGGCCTAGAATTTTAAAGATTAAAAAAGTTCCAAAAGATGTTTCTAAGATATTGTATTAAGTGGGGTTTTATAGAATTAGCATGTCTGGTTATACATGTTTTCATTTGACACTGTGCACTTTGCTGGTTGTAATTTGTGTGGTGTATAATTGTAGGTACAGCTTAATTGGTACATGAATGACGTATAATAAACTGCAAATATGTGTGTGGTATTTATATCTGTAGTTCATTCTTATTGCTGAGTACTAGTAGTATTGTATGGATGTAATGCTGTTTGTCCATTCACCTATTTGTGGACATTTCTATTAGTGGACATTTGTGTTGATTGTACTTATTTTTTGGCTGTTAGAAATAAAGCTGTTATATTAACATTTATATGTCAAATTTTTAGGTATATGCATTTTTCTCTTTTCTTTCTTTTTTTTTAATATATTGATTTTTTATGTAGAGGAAGAGAGAGGGATAGAGAGTTAGAAACACCAATGAGAGAGAAACATCTATCAGCTGCCTTCTGTACACCCCCTGCTGGGTTTGTGCCCACAACCAAGGTACATGCCCTTGACCGGAATTGAACCTAGGACCTTCCCATCTGCAGGCCGATGCTCTATCCACTGAGCCAAACCGGTTTTGGCAGTATATGCATTTTTCTTGGGTAGATACTTAGAAGTAGAATAGCTAGATTGTATGGTAGCTATTTGTTTAGCTTTTTCAGAAACTACTAAACTTTTTATTTCCACTGTCAGTGTAATGAGAATTACAGTTATTTCACACACCACTAATATTCATTGTTCATTTTTTTTAAGAATTATAAATTTATTAGATCATTTGGAAAATCAGGTGGGCTGAGCCCCAAAATGGCACCAGCTGCTCATTCTTAATTAATTTTAGTCATTATAGTATGTGTGTAGTGGTATCAAATTGTAGTTTCAATTTACATTTCTCTAACCAAAGATGTCAAGCATCTTTTCATATACATTTGCCATTCAGTGTATCTCTTTAAAGAAGTATCTGTTCAACTCTAGCTCATTTTTCAGAAATTGAGTTGTTTTCTCATTATTGCATTTTGAGAGCTCATTTTACAGGGCTGGGGAAAAGCACGTTTACAGTTGTGAGTACACGGAACAGTTGATTATTGTATTTATTAAATATTTTTCCATATGAAAAACTGTAAATCTATTTTTTCCAAAACCTGTATATATCAGATATAAGTTATTTATTAGAAACTTAGGAAATATTTTCTAATCTATGGCTTGCTTGATTTTCTCTTAACAGTGTCTTTTGAAAAGTAGTTTTTAAATATTTTAAATATTAGCATTTGTACCGTAATATTTAGGTTAGGCATATTACCACAGATTTTTGGATATGCTAGTGAAAATGTTCGTGAAAATTATTTCATTCTGAAATACTTTTTGCAGTGTCAGAGTGTCATCAACCAAGGAAATAAGAAACTTCAAAATAAAAAAGAAAAAGAAGATAAAGTTGAAAAGAGAAATAGCAGTGAGAGCAAAGAAACCCGAGAAACAAAACTAGATGGTCCTGGTGAAAATATCAGTGAGGATGAAGCTCAGTCAAATAATCAACGAAGGAAAGGTTTGTTCATCTATAACTTCCATTTCATTGAGATGTGATTATATTAGTTTAAAGTATAGAACACAATGATTTGATGTATCAATGCAAATGACTACCACAATGTTTAATATCCATCAATTCATAGTCACTATTTTTTTAAAATTTGTTCTTTTAAAAAAAAATTTTTTTTTAATCTTAGAAAGGAAGAGGGACAGAGATAGAAACATTCGATGAGAGAAACATAGATTGGTTGTCTCCTGCAGGCTCCTCACTGGTAATCAAGACCACATTCTGGGCATGTGCCCTGACCAGGAATCAAACCAGCGACCTCTTGATTCATGGGTTGACATTCAACCGCTGAGCAGGCACAATTTTTTTTCTTAAGATGAGAATTTTTAGGCTCTATTCTCAGCAACTTTCCAATATGTAATACTATATTATTATCGTTGCTATGCTGTACATTGCACACTAGAACTTATGTAGTAATAAGTTTGTAGCTTTTGATCATCTTCACTCAGTTCTCCCATTCATCAACTGTGTTCTCTTTCTTTGAGTTCAGTTTTTCTAGATTCCACATATTAGTGAAATCATACAATATTTATCTTTGTCTCACTTATTTCATAGCATAATGCCCTCAAAGTGTATCTGTGCTGTTGCAAATAATAGAATTTTCTTCTTATTATTCCATTCACTAAACTCAACACATTTTTGTTATCCATTTGTCTGTCCGTGGACTGTTTTTCTTGTCTTGGCTATTGTAAAGTATGTGGCCCTGGTGAAAATGTCAGTGAGAATGAGACTCAGTCAAGTAATTAGTGAAAGAGAGGTTAGTTTATCTATATGTTCATTGTAACCTTACTTTCCGGAAGGAAATTATACTAATGAAGAATTGTATTTAATCAATTGTTTCCTGGTAGTCAGTCACCATTGAGTATTTTTGGATTTCTTCAGGATACCATCTGCAAATGGTAACTGATATGTTTTTGTAGCATTCATTTCTGAACTTGTAAGCTTTCCTTTTTTTTATGTGAGAAGGAAATGAAGTTGTACTTAATAGAGATGAGTATAGATACACGATTGGAAAGTTGTGTAAAGCTAGTGTTTTGATTTCAGTGAGGAAGGGAGAGATAGAAACATCAATAAAGTGAGAGGATCATTGATCAGCTACTTCTTGCAGGACTGCTACAGGGGATTGGGCCTGCAACCTGGGCAAGTGCACTGACCAGGAATAGAACCGTGACCTTCTGGTTCATAGGTTGACTCTAAACTACAGAGCCACAATGACTGGGCCATAACTATTTTTAAAATATATGTATTTTTATTGATTCAGTGAGTAAGGGAGAGGGAGAGATAGAAACATCAATGATGAGAGAGAATCATTAATTGGCTGCCTCCAATCACATTGGGGATTGAGCCCACAACATTGAACCATGACCTCCTAGTTTATAGATTAATGTTCAACCAGTTAACCATGCCAGTTGGGCTAACTATTGTTTTTTAAACCGGCATTGCAACTGATCCTGTCTTATAGGGAGCTTTGAGATAATGTTTTTCTGAGAAAAGGGAGAACAATTTTCGTCAAGTTTTTTCCCCCTCATACCATGCCCTCATACTCTGAAGAAAAAAAGATGCTGTCTTTACATCCTTTTCCATATTTTTAGAACTTTTCATGTGTCTAGGGGACACATGATTGAACTGCTTTGTAAAACCATATATTCATCAGTGTTCTGAGCCTAGGTAAAAGTGTCTGCAGGGGCCTTTTGGTAGGAAAAAAATCTAAACTGTCAGAAGGTCATAACTGAGGCATGGTGAACTTTGGAGATGATATTGGAGAGGTAGGCATAGTCAACATTATGCAGGATTAAAACTTGGGGTTAACATTTTGAGTTCCATAGGAAGATGTTGAAGCATTTTAATTCATGGAGGGTAGTCACCAGTGAACTTCTTTAATAATGGAAGTAGCAATCTATCATGTATTAAGTACTTGACTTGATCTTTATTCTAACGATTATCTAGTCCTTTAGCTGCAGGGTAAGCATTAGGCTCACTTGGTACAATGAACCAAGGCTAATTGCTCAAAGGTAGTGCCAATAGGACAACTATGTGGTTATTAGAAAAAAATTTCCCCAGTTCTTAAAACTTTTTCATGCTTTTTAGACACAGGTAGTCTTTTCTTTTTGACTGTTATTTATAGACTAGAGACCTGGTGCATGAAACTTGTGCACAGGTGGGGGTGGTGGTGGTGGTGTTCCTTAGCCTTGCTTGTGCCCTCTCAAAGTCCAGGAGCCACCAGTCAGACATCCTTAGTGCTGCCACGGAGGCGGGAGAGGCTGTGACCCAGTTCAGGGCTTCTGGCTGAGGGGCGCACCCCCTGTGGCAGCTTCTGCGTTGAGCTTCTTCCCCCTGGTGGTTGTGTGTCATAGCGAGCAGTCATTCCACTGGTTGATAATTTGCATATTAGCCTTTTACTATATAGGATGGTAGACCTGTCATCCTGCTCTAATATTAGTTTTCCTTCCTAATTGCTTCATTTAAAATTATCAACCAACACTAAAATCTGGGTATTTATAGTTAGTGATTCACATACAGTAGGTCCTTGGGTTACATCGGAGATCTGTTCCTATGGCGTAATGTAATGTGATTTTCACCATAAGTCAGAACCCACCTACATAAGCACCTGTATCACTCATATGGAGCACATAACATAGCAGTAATGAAGTGAAACAGTAAAAAAAAAATTTCAAAGAAAGATAATTCCTGACCTTTACTTGTGGCAAATAACTAATTAAAAAAAAAAAAAATAAAGCCAGATGTACAGACTTCGAAATGACAGAACTTTTTTTTTTTAATAAATAAATGAGAGATGGCGATGTAATCACGAAGCAAGGTACGGTCAGTCTGACATAACCCAAGGACTGCCTATACTCAAGCCATGAATTGACTTTCCTAACAGCACACATTTAAAAAAAATGTTTTATTGATTTTAAAGAGAGTGATAGCAACATAAATGATGAGAGAGAATAATTGATCAGTTGCCTCCTGCATAGCCTCCTGCTAGGGATGGAGCCCACAACCAGGACCCATGCCCTTACTGGGAATCTAACAGTGGTTCATAGATTGACCCTCATCCATGGAGTCACACCAACCAGGCACATATTTTATCTTCAAACAGAAGCCTTATTTATGCTCAAGAATCTCTTGATAGAATTTAGTCTTTAAAGAGTTTTTAAATTATTTCCTATTCTCTTTCACTCATGTCTCCATATATTGTAGGTTTTATAGGAAATCAGTACTGAATTTTCACAATAATATTTCTTTTCCTTTAATTACCTTAATAGTGTTTCCATTGCTCATGAGTCTTTTTGTTTGGTAAAGAAAAAAAAAATATATTGTAGTCCTAGCTGGTTTGGCTCAGTAGAGAGAGCGTCAGCCTGTGGACTCAAGGGTCCCAGGTTCGATTTCGTCAAGAGCATATACTAGGTTGCGGGCATATACCCAGTAGGGAGAGTGCAGGAGGCAGCTGATCTAACTTTCCCTCTCCCTTCCTCTCTGTAAAAAATCAATAAAATAAAATAATTAGAAGAGTGAAGATTTTGAAATCTTAACTGTGGAATCCATGAATAGGCCATCTTGAGAATTACATTATGACAATTATATTTTTGTCAACAAGAAAAGTTAAATTTCTTAATTCTCTTAAGAAGTAAGGAAAATAAGCTGGTTTTGCTCAGTGGATTTAGTGTAGGCCTAAGAACTGAAGAGTCCCGGATTTGATTCTGGTCAAGGGCATATGCCTGGGTTGCTCTCTTGATCCCCAGTGGGCTACGCAAAAGGCAGCTAATCGATGATTCTCTCTCATCATTGATGTTTTTATCTCTCTGCCTTCCTCTCTGAAATCAGTAAAAATACATGTTAAAAAAAATAAGAAAAATGTAAGTAATAGTTTTAACAAGATTTGTCAAATGCAGTTAGATACATGTTACACTTAGACTTAATTAAAAAAAACTCTTATAATGCTGAATAAATCAATATTTTATCTATATTTTAGATTGTGACGCAAAACTAAAAGTTCTTTTGAATCACTATCCAAGCTTTCCAATGTGTACATTATAATGTCCTATCAGGTATATCCCATTCTCAAGCCTAAGAATCAAGTATTAGATAGGAGTGGTGTGTACATGTACTATTTTTGAACACTTTATCCATTAGAATTAAACAGAAAAGTGGGCATTTCATTTAAAAGCAAAAGAATTTCAATGATACTTCATCACTGAATTTTCAATTGATTTTTAGAAATACTGTTTATAGAAAATACTTGAAAGAGCTATGTGAGAAGAAAATTATTTTGATATTGTAGAGATAATCTCTTTCAGAAAAAATTAAGTCTCATTTAATTAAAATACATTCTTTTAATATATTTTTTTATTTTTATTTTTATTGATTTTTTTCAGAGAGGAAGAGAGAGGGATAGAGTGTTAGAAACATCGATGAGAGAGAAACATCTATCAGCTGCCTCTTGCACACCCCCTTTTGGGGATGTGCCCGCAACCAAGGTACATGCCCTTGACCGGAATCGAACCTGGGACCTTGAGTCCGCAGGCCGATGTTCTATCCACTGATTCAAACCAGTTTCGGCCAGTCTTTTAATATTTTTATTTTTTAATTCTATTTTTATTGATTTCAGAGAGGAAGGGAGAGAAACATCAGTGATGAGAGAGAATCATTGATTGGCTGCCTCCTGCATGCCCCCTGTGAGTTTTCTTTTTTGCTCAAACCTTCCACCATCACCCCACCCTCGATTCTGCACCCACCCATCAGGGCTGTCTCTATTTTGCTTGCTAGTTTAGATTGTTCATTAAATTCCACATAAGTGAAATCATATGGCACTTGTCTTTCTCTGGCTTATTTCACTTACCTAACATAATGTTCTTCAAGTCCATTATGCAAAGGGTAAAATTTCCTTTCTTTTTTTACTGCAGAGTAGTATTTCATTGTGTAACTGTACCACAGGCTATTTATCCACTCATCTGCTGGACAATTGGGCTGCTTCCAAATCTTGGCTAGCCTATATAATAAAAGGCTAATATGCAAATAGACCTAACAGTTGAACTACTGGTTGCTATGACACACACTTACCACCAGGTAGCAAGGGCTCAACACAGGAGCTGCCCCCTGGGGGTCAATGTGCTTTCATGGGGAGTGCCGCTCAGCCAGAATCTGAGCCAGGCTCATGGCTGGTAAGCGCAGTGCTAAGGATTTCTGACTTGTCAGTTGGACATCCTCCAAGGGCTCCCAGACTGTGAGAGGGCACAGGCCAGGCAACCCCCAATCCTCAGCAAATGCATGTATTTCGTGCACCGGGCCTCTAGTTGTAAATAATGCAATGAACACAGGGATACATATATTCTTTTAAATTAGTGTTTTGGGTTTCTTTGGATATATTCCCAGAAGAGGAATCTCTGGGTCATACAACTGTTCTAATTTTATTATGTGAGTTAACTCCATACTCCTTTCCACAGTGGCTGCACCAATCTGCATTCCTTTCAATAGTGCACCAGGGTTCCCTTTCTCCACATCTTTGCCAACACTTGTTTCATTGACTTATTGATGATAGCCATTCTGACAGGTGTGAGGTGATATTTCAAGAGACCTTTCAGAATTGGTTTTATTAAAAATTGTGTTGTCATTAAATTATTTTATTTTGTTTTCTTGAAGCTAATAAACACAAGTGGGTACCACTCCACTTAGATGATGTAAGACCAGATAGTCAAGAAAGACCAGGATCCCGGAACAGCACAAGGTGTCAACCTGAAACAAATAAGTCATCACAAAACAATAGGAGAAATGATACACGAAGTAAGTTACACTTTGAGGAGAAAAATGACTGAGGAACTATGTCTTACTGCTTATTATTATTAGTTTTCTGCTTATTATTTTAATTGCCATGAATAGTATAAACTATTTGAGAGTAAGTTGCAGACATTGTTCCTCTTTTTTTTTTTTTTTCAGTACTCACTGAAGGATATTCTTTTTCATTGAATTTTCAGAAAGAGGAAGGGAGAGAGAAGAAAAGGAAAAAGGGAGGGAAGGAGAGGGAGGAAGAGAGAAACATTGACATGAGAGAGAGACACTGATTGGTTGCCTCCTACATATCAGGATGTGGGATGAAACTGCAACCTAAATAAAGCGTCCTTATCTGGGAATCAAACCTGAGACCCTTCAGTCTGATGGCCACCATTCTAACGACTGAGCAAAACCAGCCATGGCCAGGCATTGTTCCTCTTTAACCCTAAATAACTTCATAATATATGTTGTAAAAATAGTATGGATGTGCACTGGCAGTTTTCCTCCTCTTTTTTATAGGATCTAATCTAGATAACACATTGCTTTTAACTGTCTTTTATCTTTAGTGTCCATTAGTTTGGCATAGTTCTTTTGCTTTTGTCTTTCATAACATTGATTTTTTTTTTTAAGACAGCAGGGCAGATATACCTCACTTTGTGTTTTCGGGTGGTTTTTGTTTGATTTTTAATATATCCCATTGATTTTTCACAGAGAAGAAGGGAGAGGGACAGAGTCAGAAACATCAATGAGAGAGAAACATCGACCAGCTGCCTCCTGCACACCTCCCACTGGGGATGTGCCTGCAACCAAGGCACATGCCCCCGACCGGAATCAAACTTGGAACCCCTCAGTCCACAGACCGATGCTCTTTCCACTGAGCCAAACCAACCAGGGCTCTGGTGTTTCTTTTTTCTTTTTCTTTTTTTAAATGTATTTTATTGATTTTTACTGAGAGGAAGAGAGAGAGAGAATTCGAAACATCGATGAGAGAGAATCATCTATCAGCTGCCTCTTGCACACCCCCTACTGGGGATGTGCCCACAACCAAGGTACATGTCCTTGACCGGAATCGAACCCAGGACCTTTCAGTCCGCACACCAACGCCCCATCCACTGAGCCAAACTGGCTTTTTTAAAAAGTCAACTTTACTGAGCCTATAAATCATATAAATTACAATGCACTAAAATTGCTGTTACTTTCCCCAACCTCTAATGTACTTGCTTTCTGTCAGGTTAGATTTGCCCTTTCTAGAATTTCATATATATTGAACTATATAACATGTTATGACTCTTGTGTGTTCTTTTGCTCAATATTATGGTTTTCAGACTCTTCAGTAATGTTTCATATGTCAATAGTTCTACATCTTTGTTGCAGAATAGTTTTCTGTTGACTGGTTATACCCCTTTATCAATTCAAATATTTGTGTATATTTACTTATTTCCAGTTTTTGCATATTATAAATAATACTGCACCCCAGCCAGTGTGGCTTAGTGGATTAAAGGCTCCTGACATTGAGTCTGGTCCAGAGCATGCACCTCGCTTGCAGGCTCAATCCTTAGCCCTGTTCTTGGTGGGTTTTGGATGCATCCAATTGTTTTGTGTCTCTCACATCAATCTTTCTGTCTCTCCTCCCCTCCCTTTTCACTATAAAAAACCAATGGGTAAGGATTAACAAAAAAAAAGGTAATATGCACATCTATGTACAAGCCTTTGGACATATGTGTCATTTCCTAGGTAAACATCTAGGAGGGGCTTGTTAGGTGGTATGGTAAGTTCATATTTAACTTTATTAGAAATTTCCAGATTGTTTTCTAAATTGGTTGTACCATTTTCCATTCTCACCTGAAGTGTTTTTCCCCCCACTGCTTACTTAAGTCACAAATCTTAGGGAATTTCCCTTTTTAAAAATTATTATTTTATTGATTTTTTTTTTTTTTTTTTTTTTTTTTACAGAGGAAGGGAGAGAGATAGAGAGCTAGAAACGTCGATGAGAGAGAAACATCAAGAGCTAGAGAAATAGAGAGCTAGAAACATTGATGAGAGAGAAACATTGACAGGTTTTGGCCTGTCTTTACTATCTTGGTTCGCAGTTGATATAGGCAGGACCTTGAAATGTTTGTCTGAGTGGAGCAGATGAAATGCTCTTTCATTGTCTTCATTTGCATCTCTCAGAGCCAATGAGTCTGAGAACCATTTTCTTTTTATATTATATTCATTTCTTAGTTTGCCCTACCTGTCTTTTAGCCATTTTCCTGTGAGTTCCAGTGTGTGCATGTTTGTGTATAAGAGCTTTGCATGACTTCTGTATATAATTTGTGTATTGTACTGCAGATATCTTCTCCCAATATGTTTTGTGGTTTTTTGTTTTTTTTTAAAGAAATGCCGTTTGGGGAGTGGGAGTGGCTGGAGAGAGTTAATGGGGGAAAAAGAAGACATATATAATACTTTAAACAATAAAGAATTCTGTGAAAATAAATATTTTTTTAGTATGTTATTTTTACTTACTAGAATTTTTTATGTGTCAGAACTTTTATGGGCTTTATGTATGCCAGAGACATTTTGACAAATTTCTATGGGATCTCCTAAGTTTGTATCTATCTGAAGATTGCCTGGTTACTAAATAACTAGATACAAAGTGAAGAGAAATGGTTACTAGGTTTTCATAAAGATAATCATATTATTTATAGCTGTAAATTGGAATGTATAAAAATACTTTTATTTCAAAAAGGTTGGAGACGTGATAGAGAAAAGAGAGATGATCAAGATGAAGTTTCCAGTGTGAGAAGTGAAGGTGGTAATATCCGAGGTTCCGTAAGAGGCCGAGGAAGAGGCCGAGGACGGGGAAGAGGACGAGGCAGAGGAAATTCTCGATGTATGACATGATTTTGTGTGTGTGCTTTTAATTAGATAAACATTGAAAAAGGGATATCTTAGCCTTAGTTTTCCTTACTATCTATTTACTTGTCTGATAATACAAATGATTTTATTTTTTATCCCTTGAAATACTGTACTTTGAATTTTTCTTTATAGTAACTACTTTTTCTGTTTTCAAAAAAAGTTTGTGACCACCTTTCTTTTTCTTTCTTCACATCAAGTGAACTTTGATTACTCATATGCTTATCGAGAACATGGTGAAAGGACTGATCAACCATTTCAAACAGAACTTAATACCAGTATGATGTATTACTATGATGATGGTACAGGTGTACAGGTATATCCTGTGGAAGAAGCATTGCTCAAAGAGTATATTAAGCGCCAAATGTAAGTTGATAAGCTGTAAGCAAATGTAATGATAAAGTTTGTTGCAATATCAAAATTTAACTGATAGCGTTTCGTATTGTGTCGTTTTTTAAAATACATTTTTATTGATTTTAGGTAAGGGGGGGAGAAAAACATTGATGTGAAAAGCATCGATATATATAATTGATTTTCTTACAGAGAGAAACATCGACCAGCTGCCTCCTGCACAGCCCCCACTGGGGATGTGCCCACTACCAATGTACATGCCTTTGACTGGAATCGAACCTGGGACCTTTCAGTCCGCAGACCAATGCTCTATCCACTGAGCCAAACCGGTTTCGGCAGGCCAAACCGATTTCGGCTGGCTGCCTCTTTTACACCCTATACTGGGAATTGAACAGGCAACCGGGTATGTGCCCTGAGTAGGAATTAAACTGCCAACCTTTTGGTACATGGGACAATACCCAACCTACTGAGCTATACCAGTCAGGGCTGTATTCTCTTTTCTTTTTTTTTAGAATATGTTGTTAAAATAAGTAACTTAAAAAATTTATATTTGGTTCATGTTATTTATGACTATTGTCTACTGTTTAGTTATTTGCTTAGAGGATATTACTTATACCGTCATGGCATAATTAAATATAATAGAAATTAAATGTAATAGAAATTAAATATAAAACTATATTCTAAATGAGGAAGACATTTGGATTATTTATAGATTGTGCAAATAAATATTAATGGCAAAAATGGTGATTTTTATCTTTTTAAATTTTATTTTTCAATTATATTTTACATTCATTGTTACTTTATTAGTTTTGGGTATATAGCACTGTGGTTTAGGAAACCATATACTTTACAAAAAGATAGATTGAAACTTTCTTAGCAATTTATTTCAGAGTTCTAAGTTTCTGCTTTTTTTAAGTTTTCATTCTTTGGGACAAATTAAATGAGGACTACCTTATTTTTAGTTGAGATTCCTTACTCTATCTAGTTCTCCTAAGAGTTGCTTTCTGAATACTGAAATTGGTTAGGACAACATTAGCTTGTTCCGTTGTCTTTAAGGAAAAAAAAGTAGCTCCTCTTCATATTAGTGTAGTATAGGATGTTTTACATATTTACATAGTGTTAATATAGTGGTGGAAAAAATGTTCCTATGTGATTTGCTTAACCAATCTATACTTAAGAAAGAAAATGGACCCTACTCTGTCACTAGAAAATAATTTATTCATCAGCAACATCATCTAGATATCTCCCTGTGGATTTGGTTGGTTTACAATATGAAGTAGCTTGTTTATTTTGGTCTTGCTTCTTCTGTTACAGTTAATGCAAACACTTTTTATGGATAGAAAGTTCTTGGCACTTGGCTATCAACTTCAAACTACTATTCCTATCTTTTTGTAACTCTTTGTTCCCAGATCCCTTCTGAGACCTGGCAGTGGACTTTGTTTTTTGTTTTGTGTTTTTTTAAAAAATATATTTTATTGATTTTTTACAGAGAGGAAGGAAGAGAGCGAGCTAGAAACGTTGATGAGAGAGAAACATCGACCAGCTGCCTCTTGCACACCCCCTACCTGGGATGTGCCCGCAACCAATGTACATGCCCTTACCCGGAATCAAACCTGGGACCTTTCAGTCCACAGACCGACGCTCTACCACTGAGCCAAACCGGCTTCGGCCTGGCAGCGGACTTTGTGTCTTTGAGGTTTCTCATATATAGTAGGCTCATTGATTAGGATTTACATTTTTCTTTCTAAGAAGTACTGAAAAACTTCTACTTGTGGAAAATTATGCTAAATGAATTTTAAAGTAATAGGCTGAGTTGATTATGGAGTTTAAAGAATCATTTTAACTGAAGATACATATTAATTTTTTGTTTTTGATGTTAAGATATTTAAAATTCAAGATTTTTGTTATTTTTAACTGGGAGAGTCCTTGGCATTCAGATATAGATATAACTATATGTATAAGAAGTTTCAAAAAATATATGTTATATATGCTAGGGTGATTTATGAATTTCACAAAATAATAGATTAAAAGGCATCTTAATGATTTAGAGACGTTTACACTAAAGAACAGTTTAAACTTCTAAATAAAATGCCTTAAATGATTGAAAATTTAGAAATTAAGAATATGTTTAGTGCTCAATACAAGCCAAGCACTGTGAAAGGGTTTTTGAAGTTTAACAAGAATAAAAATTTTTTTTTTTGAAGACTTAGATTATTTATCACTGTTGGAAGAGTATTGGATTTACTAAAGTTGCTGAAATGTCAGTATTTCACTGACACAGGGAGCTTTGCACTATGATAATTGGATAAATAAGCTATCCAATAAAGAGGTAATATGCAAATTGACCATCACTCCAACATACAAGATGGTCGCCCCCATGTGGTCAAAGATGGCTGCCCCATGTGGACACAAGATGGCCACCACAAGATGGCTAGCAGGGGAGGGCATTTGGGAGGGACCAGGCCAGAAAGGAAGGGCAGTTGGGGTGATCAGGCCTGCAGGGGAGGGCAGTTGGGAGAGACTGGCCAGCAGGGGTGGGCAGTTGAGGAGGTACCAGGCCTGCAGGGGAGGGCAGTTAGGGGTGACCAGGTTGCAGGGGAGGGCAGTTTGGGGCAAGCAGAGGAGCAGTTAGACCTTGATCACATTGGCAGGGGATTTCTTAGGGGGTGATCAGGGTGGCAGGTAGAAGCAGTTAAGGGCAATCAGGCAATCAGGCAGGCAGGCAGGCAGGCAGGTAGGTAGGCAGGTAGGTAGGTGAGAGAGCAAGCAAGCAAGCAAGCGGTTGGGAGTTAGCAGTTCTGGATTGTGAGAGAGAAGTCAGACATCCCTTAAGGGGTCCCAGATTGGAGAGGGTGCAGGTTGGGCTGGAGAGGGTGAAGGCTGGGCTGAGGGACATACACATATCCCTTGCATAAATTTTGTGCACTGGACCTCTAGTAAGAGTATAAAGAAACAACTTGGATATCAAATAGTTACATTTTTTAAATAAGTTATTTTTTCCTCCAGCGAAAAGGTCAAAGCTAGTTTTCATTTATAGGTGATTTTAAAAAATATATATTTTACTGATTTTACACAGAGAGGAATTGAGAGGGATAGAGTTAGAAACGTCGATGAGAGAGAAACATCGACCAGCTGCCTCTTGCACCCCTCTCCCCACTGGGGATGTGCCCGCAACCAAGGTATGTGCCCTTGACTAGAATCGAACCCAGGACCTTTCAGTCTGCAGTCCGACGCTCTATCCACTGAGCCAAACCAGTTTCGGCGAGGTGATTTTTTTATTCAAAGTTAGAATTTGACTTAAATACTTCAAGGATATCTTAGTCACCCAACCTTACACACAAATGTATGAGCGCCCAACTTTGCAAAGTCTCTAATTTGGGAACAGTATAGAATTATTAAGCTGCCAACCATATCATTATTGATATTATGTATTTCTTTTGAATTCTACATTTTCCTCCATTTATTCTTTTTCTCTGTCTCTTACAATTCTATTCTTATTTTTCTATTCGGAGGTAGTAATTTAAACGTGTTTCTCAAGTGCCATGCTAATTGTATTCATATTTGTATCCTGGAACTTGTGGTTATTGATTATACAGTTTGTTCACTCACATTTTTCTCTATAGTTTCCTAGAAAAGATTAAGGTGTTTAAGCTTCTTTTTATATCCTACTCTGCCCCCCCAATGTACCTCCTGATGTCATAGGAATTCTTTGTTTTGTTATTTGCTGTTAAATCTTAATGTCATTTATAATATTTATTTACTCATCAAAGAAAGGGGGAGATCTTGAATTGTTTAAAGATATAATTGTGTGTGTGCCTGTGCCATGTATGTACTAAGTTTTTCACTAATCAATGTACTTGATTTATAGGGTTCAGGGTTATTAAAACAATCTCAGTATCCTGGCAGAAACAGAACAAACTGTAATGTGCTCTGTAAAGTTGACAATTATTATTTCCCATATACCATTCTTCTTAGTGAAGGGAAAAAGTGGAAGGCAGTCTTTGACATGAATAGCTTTTGTTATTGGTGATTAAACAAAGCAAATAAAAATAGCTTTGTAGTGAAAAACTTTACCTAAGTGACTCATTTTAAAAATCAGTTATTGAACTTCTTAAGTAAAATGCTGGTTAATTTTTTATATTTAGGTAAAAGTGATCTAAGTGTAAAGAATTAGTTTTATCATAGTTTACTATTTAGAATTACTGTTAGTTTTTTGGAAGATAACTAGTATTCTAAATTTTTTCTACTCATTAACTCAGTAGGATTTTTTTTTTCCTTTCAGTTACATGCAATATTAGTTTCAGGTGTACATTATAGTGGTTAAACAGTTATATACTTTACCTAGTGTTCCCCTGACATACCCAACTGGCGCAGTACTCAATTATTAAAATATTATTCAGTATATTCCCTATGCTGTACTTTTATATCCCCATGACTTCCAGTTTTGTAACTACCAATTTGTACTACTCAATTCTTTCACCACTTTTGCTAATTCCCTAAACCGCCTTCCCCTCTGGCAACCACCAGTCTATTCTCTGTACCTATGAGTCTATTTCTGTTTTGTTTGTTTGTTTATGTTGTTCTTTAGATTCCACATTATAAGTACTATCATTTCATATATTTGCTCTGTGTTGTATTAAATCTATATAATGCTATTATAAAGCTGATAATATAAGCAATAGATATTTTTATTTGCTATTGTACAAATGGATGAAATTGTCATTTACTTCCTTGTTTTTCTTTTTAGTGAATATTACTTCAGTATAGAAAATTTGGAACGGGACTTCTTTCTTAGGAGAAAAATGGATGAGCAAGGTTTCTTGCCTATTTCCCTGATTGCTGGTTTCCACCGTGTTCAGGCTCTCACTACAAACCTTAATCTCATTTTAGAGGTAATTACACATTTGCAAAACAGAACAGTCTGCACTTTTTGTTTATGTTGCAAACCTAAAACTGCTCTAAAAAATAAATTCTATCATAATTTTTAAGAGAATAAACCCCCAAAACAATCTGTAGTTGCCTAAGGCTTTGGATGAAGCTCATGGTTTTTTTCTAATTTTATTAAGCTCAAATAAATTTCTAACCTTGGAAATCACTGAAAGAATTACTAATGATGTTTTCTCCTGTATTTAAACTGATCCTTCAAACTTGAACATTATTGGCTTTTTTTGGCCCTAGTCATCTTCCAGTTTTAGTGTGTATTTCCATTTTTTATTAAACTTTTCATGTGGAATAGAAAGGCCTATTTAAAAAAAAAAAATCTTGTCTGTCGCGTTCTAGAAATGCTTTCAACGTTTTTGTTTTTTTATTGCACAGTTCTATGAGCTTTCAGAGACTAACACCTTTGTGCCCCGGAGTAGCCAGTCCCTTTTCTTATACTTAGCGCAGGAACTACTGATCTGATTTTTGTCAATCTACTTTTGCTTTTTCCAGAATATTCTATAAATAAGTTATATATCTTCTAGCCTTTTGCTTATTTCTTTCACTTAGCTTAGTGCTATTGAGGTAGATTCATCTTGCATCTATCAGTACTTTTTTTTAATATTGACTAATTCCATAGTACCATAGTTTAACAATTTACTTGATGATGGACGTTTAGCATGTTTCTAGTTTTTAGATATAAACAAAGCAGAAAAGTCTTTGTGTGGACATATATTTTCCTTTCTAGTGAATAAATATTGATGATTGTGATGCTTGATTCTATTCTTATTCTACTTTTTGTTCTCTTTATTTTCTTACTGAATTAACCCCCTGTTCCCCAATAAGGAAAATTTTTTTTTTTTTAAATATATTTTATTGATTTTGTACAGAGAGGAAGGGAGAGAGATAGTTAGAAACATCGATGAGAGAGAGTCATCGATCAGCTGCCTCTTGCACACCCCCTACTGGAGATGTGCCTGCAACCAAGGTACATGCCCTTGACCGGAATCGAACTCGGGACCCTTCGGTCCCCAAGCCGACGCTCTATCCATTGAGCCAAACCGGTCCTGGCAGGAAAATTTTTTTTAAAATATATTTTATTGATTTTTTACAGAGAGGAAGAGAGAGAGATAGAGAGCTAGAAACGTCGATTAGAGAGAAATATCAACCAGCCGCCTCCTGCACACCCTCCACTGGGGATGTGCCCGCAACCAATGTACATGCCCTTGACCGGAATCGAACCTGGGACCTTTCAGTCCACAGACCGATGCTCTACCGCTGAGCCAAACCGGTTTCGGCAAGGAAAATTTCTTAATGATTCAAGATTCAAAGTGAAAACTTTCCTTCTCCTTCTCACTTTTCCCTGTAGTAAACTAGTTAAACTAACTTCCTTGTGACAGTCATGTTATTTCTTTTTTGTGTATCCCTCCTAAGATAGTTCATACTAGACTATATACACTGTTATATTGCCCTTTTTCAAACACAGCATGTTTTGTAAAAGCATTCATCTCCCCGGGTTTTTTTTGTTTATTTGTTTTGTTTTTTAATTTTTCCTGCTTTCAACAGGCATAATTTATACAGTGTATATTAGGAATCATAAGATTACAAATTACTTTCTCTGTATATACCTGTGTAATTTCCACCTAGGTTAAGAAATGGAACATATTCAACATTCTAGGAAATTCCTTGTGCCCCATCCTAGTCAGTACCACTGTTCTCAAATGGAATTGCTTTTCGGAGCTCTCTCTCACCTGTCTTTTAAACTTCACATACTCAGTTATATGTATTATTTTATATATATCTGGCATTTGACCATCATTATTTTTTTTAGGTTTATCCATTGTTGGTATATAGCAGTTAGGTTTCTATTTTTGTGTAATACAATTTATTTTTCCATGCTTTTGTTGATAGACATTTGAGTTCTTTTCAGTTTGAGTCTGCTATGAGTGCACATATTTTTTGGATGGACAGCTCTACTTATTTTCCTGTGAAACTGATGGTTAACAGGAAATAAATGCTTAGCTTTTGAAGATACTGGTGAACATTTTCCCATTACATATGTGCTGCTCTCTTATATCTGGGTCTTTGCACATGAATAACGTGTTAAACCAGTTAAAACTACGAGTGTTGAGAGTTTGATTTGTTGCATGTTCTAGCTAACACCATTGGCAGTTTTTTCCCAAAACATTATTTTGTAAAACTTAAACATAAATTTTGAGTAGGGTTTTTGCTTCTTTTTATTATTATTACCTCAGAGAGAGGAGGCGGGGGAGGGAGGGAATGAGAATGAGAGAAACATCAATGATGAGAGAGAAAAACATCAATGATGAGAGAGAATCATTGTTTGGCTGCCTCCTGCACATCCTCTGGGGCTCAAGCCCACATCCCAGGCACGAGCCCTTTACTGAAACTGAACTCAGGACCCTTCAGTCAGTAGGCTGATGCTCTATATACTGAGCCAAACCAGATAGAGCTAGGTTTTTGGTTTATTTTTTGTTTTTTTAATCAGAAATAAATACACTCTAAGATGCAGTGATCTTGGATTTTCAGTTTGAGTTTTGAAAATTGCATAAGCCTTGTCCAAATAAGATATAATCTGGTATTTAGTACTCTTGACTACTTCCTTAGTAACTCTTTCTACTCTTCCTCCACCTCTCCTATCTCAAACCAAACTACTTTTTTATTCTATTAACATTGATTGATTTGACTCTGCCTGTTGTTATGTAAATGGAGTTCTTCTGTCTCCTGCGTCTTTTATTTGTAGTTTTTTTTAATATATATTTTTATTGATTTTGGAGAGGAAGGAAGAAGGAGAGAGAGAGATAGAAACATCAATGCTGAGAGAGAATCACTGATTGCTGCCTCCTACACGCCCATACTGGGGATCGAGCCTGCAACCCAAGCATGTGCCCTTGACCGGAATCAAACCAGGCCACAGGCTGACACTCTATCCACTTAGCCAAAGCAGATAGGGCTATTTGTAGTTTTTAAAATTCATCCATGTTGCAAGATCTGGATACTGGGTACACTGGTTTGCTACTGGGATGTCATTGCTTATAGAGTGTTCAGTGGACAAAACTAGGAAAGTTTATGTCAGAGAAACAGATAATCACCAATTCAAACCCTTTACTATAGTATTCTTATTTACTTTCATATTTCAGACTCCTCTTTCAGTGAGTATTCTTATTCCCATCAAAAGTTTGTTTTTAAACAATATTTAATACTAATTTTAAAGTAATGTCTAGTTATGAAAAATAGAACTTGAAGTAAGTACTATACTATTTTTAAGGGCATGCTATATAATAAAGAGCTAATACACAAATGGTTGTCACACCCTCTTGCTGGGGCTCGGGGATCTGGCTCACCCCCCCACTTTGCAGGGCTTGACGGGGTTGGGGCCTGCTGGGAGCGGTGCACATGGGTGAGTGCGGACTTGACTCTGGATCCAGCCGTGCACCCCAGACTCTGATAGAGATTTTCATATATATTTTACTAAAATTTTTTTTCTCTGACACTTTTATTATAGAGAAAGGGCAAATAGCAATATTAAAATATTTCCTCTAATTACCTTTTAATTGTGTTGCACCAATTTCATGTACCAGGCCACTAGTACTAATATAAAATTCTTAAAACAATACATGTATGTTCTTCAACTAAAATATAACTAAATATAACTAAAAATTTTAAGTTAATAAATATTTACATTGAATTTTTATATCATATTTGTATTTTTCTTTATTTCTAAAAGCTGAATACCTTTAAATTTTAGTTAAAATTCTTATCAATAACACTTTAATTATTTTGAAAAAATTTTGTTCTAGTTTTTTTTTTTTTTTTTTTAATGATTTTTTACAGAGAGGAAGGGAGAGGGATAGAGAGTTAGAAACATTGATGAGAGAGAAACATCAACCAGCCGCCTCCTGCACGCCCCCTACTGGGGATGTGCCCGCAACCAACATACATGCCCTTGGCTGGAATCGAACCCGGGACCCTTGAGTCCACAGGCCGATGCTTTATCCACTGAGCCAACCCGGTTTTGGCTGTCCTGATTTTTTTATATAGATTTTTAAAAATTTCTTTATTGATTAAGGTATTACATATGTGTCCTTATTCTCCCATTACACCAGTTAATATTATTCATCGGATTTTTTAATTCCCTTGATTTTTAGATTCACTTGTTTGATATGTATTTGTTGTTCATAATTTTTATCTTTATTTTCTTCCTCTTCCTAAAGAACCCCCTTCAGCAATTCATATAATTCTGGTTTGGTAGTGATGAACTCCTTTAGCTTTTTTTTATTAGTGAAGCTCTTTATCTGGCCTTCGATTCTTTTTTTTTTTAATATATTTTTTAATTGATTTTTTACAGAGAAGAAGGGAGAGGAATAGAGAGTTAGAAACATTGATGAGAGAGGAACATCGATCAGCTGCCTCCTGCACACCCCCCCACCGGAGATGTGCCTACAACCAATGTACATGCCCTTGACCGGAATCGAACCCAGGACCCTTCAGTCCACAGGCCGACGCTCTATCCACTGAGCCAAACCAGTTTTGGCTGGCCTTCGATTCTAAGTGATAGCTTTGCTGGGTAGATTATTTTTGGCTGTAGGTTCTTGCTGTTCATCACCTTGAATATTTCTTGCCATTCCTGTCTGGCCTGCATGGTTTCTGTTGAGAAATCATCTGACAATCGTATGGGTGCTCCTTTATAGGAGCTACCTGTTTCTCTCTTGCTGCTTTTAATATTCTCTCTTTGTCTTTTGCTCTTGGCATTTTAATTATGATGTGTCTTAGTGTGGTCCTCTTTGGATTCCTTTTGTTTGGGGTTCTGTGCGCTTCCTGGACTTGTAGGTCTAATTCTTTTACCAGGTGGGGGAAGTTTTCTGTCACTATTTCTTCCAGTATGTTTTCGGTATCTTGCTCTCTCTCTTCTTCTGGGACCCCCATAATTCTGATGTTGGTTCACTTGAAGTTGTCCCAGAGGTTTCTTGCACTATCTTCAACTTTCTGGATTCTCTTGTCTTCTTGCTTCTGCAGAAGAGTGTCCTCTGACTCTTTGTGTTCCAAATCTTTGATTCTTGTGATCTTCCATTCTGTGTTTTTAGGACTCTGTATAATATTTTTTATTTCAGATAATGTATTCTTTATTTCTAGTTGATCCCTTTTCATATCCTCATATGTCTCACTTATTTTATCAGCCTTTTCTAGGAGATTCTTGAAAAACCTTATAAGCGTGGTTTTGAACTCTACATCCAGTCGCTTTTTGTCCTCCATTTCTTTCGTTTGTGATCTGTTTCCTTGTCTCGGCATTTTTGCAGCTTCCCTGAGTTGGTTGCCTTAAAAGTCTCTGTGTTCAGCTTGGATTGGGCCGAGTTTCAGGGTGGAGCCTACAGCCTTGACTTCCGTCAGCCCTGCCCTATGAGGCTCCTGAATCTCGGTGTTCTTCGGTATCCTGGACTCGCTGCAAGCACCTCTGAGAGAAAAGTGCCCTCGAGTTTCGCCTGCTACCAAACAGTCTAGGCTCTCTCCCAATGAGCCCGGAACTGGGGTTCAGTTCAGTTGGAAGTGGGGTTGGAAGTAGGGTTCAGAGCAGTCTGGAGCTTTTGTCTCCTTCCCACCAGGACAATCCTGCGGCCCAGCCAACCGTTTGTTCTCTGTGCGCAGTGTGCGCGCCTCCGGGACTGCCTTTTGCCGCTCCCCTGAGGTTCCTCCTTACAGCCAGTCTCTCTCCTTATGTGTCTGGGTCCCCAGGGTCTCGCCCAGAACTGGGGTTCAGTTCTGTCGGAACTGGGGTTCAGCACAGTCCAGAGCTTTTATCTCCTTCCCGATAGGGAACGCCAGCAGGCACTGAACCTCCCCCTCCTCTCCGGCTCCTTTCCGCGTGCACAACGTGTCTCCGTACCTTAGGCTTTTAAAGCTCCTCTGATTTTCCTTCTGGTTTTCTCTTTCCTTCTAGTTGTAGAATTTCCAGTCAGTCGACTTTCCTGTAGTTCTGGGTAATGTCCATTTTATATTTTAGTTGCATTTTATTGAAATTGTTGTGTGAGGCTGCAGTTAGGTGTTTACCTATGCTGCCACCTTGGTTTCTCTCCTATTGATTTTTTGATGATAGCCAATGTGACAGGTGTGAGATGGTACCGCATTGTCAAATTTTTTTTTTTAAATGTCTTTTTTTTTTTGTTAAATATATTTTATTCATTTTTTACAGAGAGGGAGAGGGATAGAAAGTTAGAAACATCGATGACAGAGAAACATCGATCAGCTGCCTCCTGCACACTCCCTACTGGGGATGTGCCAGCAACCAAGGTACCTGTACTTGACCAGAATTGAACCTGGGACCCTTGAGTCCACAGGCCGAGGCTATATCCACTGAGTCAAACTGATTTTGTTCGCATTGTTGTTTTGATTTGCATCTTTCCGATGATTAGTGACTTTGAGCAGGTTTTCATATGTCTCTTGGCCTTCTATCTTCTTTTGAAAAGTATTAATTTAGGTCAGTTGCCCATTTTTTTATTGGGTTATCTTCCTTTTGTTAAGTTGTATGAGTTCTCTGTAAATGTTAGAGATTAAACCCTTATCGTTATGTTCTACTTTTATTTTATCCTTAAATTATAGCACATTTATTTTTGAGAAACCCCATAGCCTAGTGGCTAAGACTTTTATTGGTCAACAGATAAATGATTTGAGTCCTGTTATTAACTCATAATAAATCTGTGCCCTTTTTGCCCTATCTAGTTTGGCTAAGTAGATAGTGTTGGCCTGGGAACTGAAGGGTCAAGGGCATATGCCTGGGTTGTGGCTCAATTCCCAGTAGGGGGCATCCAGGAGGCAGGCAATCAGTGGTTCTCTCTCATCATTGATGTTTCTCTCTCTCTTCCCTTCCCTCTCTGAAATCAATACAAAAATATATATTTAAAAATCTGTGCACTTTATCAACTTAACTGTAGTCTCCCCTTTTTTTTCTGGGGATATGATCCAAGACCCCTAGTGGATGCCTGAAACTGCAGATAGTACAGAACCATGTGTATTGTATGTGCTAAATTTTTTCATATCCATCTTACCTTTTCACTTGAAGCACTTTATATAGTTTCTCTTGGTATATTCGAATTGCCAGCATCACTACTCTTGTGCTTTGGGGCAATTATTGAGGAAAATAAAGATGACATGCCACAAGCCTGTGATACTGTGACAGTTAATACCCTGTTTCCCCGAAAATAAGACAGTGTCTTATATTAATTTTTTTCTCCCAAAGTTGTGCTAGGTCTTATTTTCAGGGTATGTCTTATTTTTCCATGCGCTATTTTCGGAGGATGTCTTATTTTCGGGGAAACATGGTAGTAGCAGATAGCTACTAAGTAATTAATAGAGTGCTTATGCTGACAAAGGGACAGTTCTCTTCTGGTGTGAGATTTCATCATGCTATTCAGAATAGAGTGTGTAGTTTAAAGTTGATGTATTGTTTATTTCTGGAATTTTTCATTTACTGTTTTGGACCAGAGGTAACTAAAACTGTGGAAAGTGAAATTTCAGACAGAGGAGGACTGCTGTACTTTATTTCTTTGAGCTTTAGTGTCCTCACCTATGAATTAGGAGTCATTTTTAAAATTTTTAGGTTATTGGAAATAAGGATGTACAATTAAAATTTTTGAATGAAAGTTCTTTAATTGATCAAAATTCCTATTTATAGGCACTGAAAGATAGCACAGAAGTGGAAATTGTGGATGAGAAAATGAGAAAAAAGATAGAACCGGAAAAATGGCCAATTCCGGGCCCTCCTCCACGTAGGTTGCCACAAACAGACTTCTCTCAACTGATTGACTGCCCAGAGTTTGTACCAGGTCAAGCCTTTTATTCACATGCAGGTAACAGCTTTTCTTCTACAGCAAACAGCATAACACTGGGCTTTTTGATTCAATTTGCCTATCTTTTTAAAGCTTATTTAGCTTCAGTAGGAAAATTGAAGATAACTAAATGACTCTGGTGCTTCAAATTCTATTCATAATTGTCTCCCACACAGAGCTATAAATTAATATGATCTTAATAATTATGAGTGAAACTCTGCTCTGTTTTAAATTATTTGTGTACTTTGTTATGTGGAGTTTGTACTTATCTTTCCTTAATTTTGCTAAATAATTATAGATATATTGTGCCAGTTTTCCTTTTGTAAACTCTGAATAGTCCAGTAGGATTCCAGAATCTAAGTCTCATACCCAAGAGTGGGGAAGACTTTATTTAATTTTCTTACCAATGTATTTCAACCTTGTCTTGAAAAGATGAGATGACCTATCTATATTCTAATGCATAATTGGGGTTCTCTTATGAAGTTATTACAGTTATTGATTAAAGAATTGCTGGTACTTAGAATTTCCAAAAACTGCTTTAATGTTAAGATCTTTTCCCCCCTGGATCATTTTTAAGACATTCCCTCTTGGGAAAAAATATGTGTGCTTAAACTTTTTTCAGTCAGGGTGATGATCTACTGATGCTCTTGGATGTCATTTGATCGGAAAATGCAGAGGAAGGAATAGGTGACTCACTGAAATATCATTATAAATATTGGAACAAATCGTGCTGCAGAAATGAAAGCGACCAGAGTTACTTCTTTGCAAGAATGTCTACTCCCAACTCCTTGTGGAGGATGTTGGGGCAACACTACAGTGGAGATAAACACCTATGTGATGATGATGATGATGATGAGAGACAGACCAGAGGACTGCTGTTGTTTTTATACGAGCTGCCCATTTGTGTATAAATAACCTGGGCTGTATGTGCTACCTTTTATTCACGGTGGGAAAGTTAATTTTCATTCTGGAAATATACAAGATTCTGTCTTTTCCTTTTAGACTTATGTACTTGTGTCCAGATCAATAAAGTAGAAATAGAGAGGCTTCAGTGGCATTTTCCAGATTGTTAGGTTCTTTGCTATTTAATTTGCCCCTCTTTTATAGTGTACTGTAATCTCACATGTTGTCATATTTTACATGGACTTTAAGATTTATTGATGTGAATACTAAGGAATAAGAAATTTAAGAAATGAAAGTATTTTTTTCACTCTTTAAAATTTATTTTTTATACACTAGTGTGAGGCACCTGCCATCAAAAAAGCACTGATGGATAGTCTCACAGATAATTTTATTTATTGTTTCTTTGATTGTCAGCCCTCTGTGCCTCTAAACCTAGAAAGCAACTTGGGCAAGTGTTTTAAAATTTAAAGAAACATTTTTAAGGTTTTTAAAATAAAGATATGCTGTCTGTATAAGTTAGATTAATATATTGTGTAAACGTGGGGTCCAAGATGACATTTTTAACCTGCTCATGAACAGGCATTAGTTGAGTTAGATAAAATAGAAAACACTTCTTCCACAGAGTAGCTAAGATAGGTTAGTCAAGTTGGTGATGCCTGTTCATAAGCAATTTATGCATTATTAATAAAATTACAGGAATAAAATCACAATGTCTGGTAAATTTTTGTGTTTTTTTAATATACTCATTTACATGCACACATACAATGCCTAAAACCAGTCAGTGTACACTAAACATGTTTTAAAAATTTAGGTTCTTTAATATATACATATCAGAAACCAGGTGGATAATGAAGGCATTATAAAAAAATGGAATGTGTTTTGAGTTATGCTGATTCACTTTAAATCATAGGAATAATCACGTAAATTTAGTCTTTTCCTGTGACTGCCCAAATTTCTGACCTTAACAATTCTCCTCTGATAGAAAGCCTTAGTTTCCTAAATTCAGTCAAGGGTACTGCCACCAAAAATTTGAAATGGGAATAAAGGATAGGAAATTTAGATTGTGTTTATCAATATACCCATGCATAGAGAAAAACAGTGAAACTTTTACCTAAACCCTTTTCACTCAAGTCAGAAGACCTTAAATTTCAAAAACATAACCCATGATAATATATTTTCTAAGGGATTTGTGTGGTAAAATATTAAAAACGTTTGGTCCTTTTCACAAAACAATTAAATTTCTATTTTTTCCTTATGGAGCTTGAATTGTCTCACATGGATTGACTTTTGTGCTGAACAGAGGACCTTAATGCACCAGAAAAGGTTGATTATGGGAATGGTAAGGTGTTCTAAAATTTAGGTTTTGCAGATATAGTATTGCACTATGAATAGTGAATGAATTTCATTCACCAAAATTGAGAGGTCAGATATCTGACAATCTTGTGTTGTTTTTTGTTTGTTTCTACTTGGTTTTAAAAAATATAAGATTTTCCCTAATGATTACTAACTTATGAGATTTTTTTTTTTAAGTTGATCTGTAGAAGTGTTCTTAAATGTGCCACACATAAAGCATGTAATCATTTTTAAAGCAATCTTTGTAATTACTCAGTGCTGTGATTCATGGTGGATAAAAAAAAGTCATGATAGCCTGGTCATTGTGCTGTGGTTGAGTGTCAACCTATTAGCCAGGAGGTCAAGGTTTTATTGCCTGTAAGGGCACATGCTGGAACTGTAGGCTTGACCCTCAGTAGGTGTGCAGGAGGCAGCTGATCAGTGATTCTCATTATTTCTCTCAGAAATCAATAAAAAATTTTTTTAAAAAAAAAGGCATGACAGGTAAATATGATGGAATATATACAGCAAGGCAAAAGTAGGTTTACAGTTGTTCGTGTGAAAAATAATGTAATAGATATAAACTCACAACTGTAAACCTGCTTTTCCCCACCCTGTATATGATGATTTATCTTCTTAAGTCATATGGACAATTTTCAATTACTGAAAACTGCAACAATACTTTTTATTTCTGTTGAGTTTTTAAAAACTAGAAACCATAAATGGCAAAGTATGCATCTAATTTTTTATCTTAAGTTTAGTTTCAAGTAATCCAAGCCATATTCAAATTCAATTGGTCTTGGGAAGATTAGTGCTTTACTATTAACTGTTAAAATTTTCACACATATGTTGAAATCTTTTCATTGTAAAAACAATCACACAAAGCATATGTACCCTTTAAAAGCTAAAATTTTCTTGCCCTACCCAATTTCTTTGGCATTTTAATGTCATTTAATTTATAAGCACGTGCTGTGAACATAGTAAAACACTTCATAATAGAAACATTCAAGCTTAAAGAACATTTAAAGATGGTTATGTAATAAGCATAAATAGTAGTTTAAATATCTATGTTAAAAATAGTTGCAACTGATTTTCCTAATAGGTTCATAATGGTAAGTTACTTAATTCTCACACACATTCTAGGATGGTAGTTCTGTCTGCTTTCAAAGCTTTATTCACTCTATGAACATAGATGATTCATAATATTAGAAATAGGGTTCTCTATAACTTGAACAGTATGGACAGCCCGAAACTAGTATTTTCCTCGTGCTACTTTTGTGGATCATGTGAGAAGATATATACCATTAATTAAGGAAATTAGCATCAATGTTCAATAGAAATATATTTGCAATCCCCAGCTGGATTGGCTCAGTGGATGAGTGACAGCCTGTGGACTGAAGAGTCCTGAATTTGATTAATGTATCTATGTCTCCACAGCTGCCTTTTCTCACTAAAGTGAGGCAAAGCAGAACAGACTAGGCTCATATCCCTAGCCCTTGCTTCACGTCCCCAGCTTTAATAAACATCCTTTACCTGAAACCAGTTTGGCTCAATGGATAGAGTGTCGGTCTGCGGACCGAAAGGTCCCAGGTTCGATTCCAGTCAAGGGCATATACATTGGTTGCGGGCACATCCCCAGGAGGGGGTGTGCAAGAGGCAGCTGGTTGATGTTTCTCATCGATGTTTCTAGCTCTCCCTTTCTCTCTAAAAAAATCAATGAAATATATTAAAAAATAATAAAAAATAAAAATAAACATCCTCTAAAAAACCCACAACAATAATTAAATATAGCATATTAGCACAAAAATTATGGATTTTTTTGTACCATGTCTTTGAAATCTGGTACATGTTTTATACTTATCCTGAGCACATTTTAGGACTAGTCATCTTTCAAGTGCACAATAGCTTCATATGACTAGTGGCTGCTATTCAACAGTGCAGTTTAGAGCATTTTTTAAAATATAAAATATATTTTTAAAGTAATATAGTAAATCTATTGGTTCTTGGAACTAGCTATTTGTCCATCAAAAAGATTAACTTACCTGATTGTAGTATGTAGTAGATGAAATTAAAATTTTAGAATATTCTTCCAAACTCCTGGAATGTGCCTTTGCATTTTAATTTAGCAAATAAAATGAAAATTGTTCATTTATATCAGTTTTCTCTATGTAATATATTCAACTTTGCAGAATTTCTAAGGAATTGGCTTTTGAGGAGTAAATGCTGTTTTGAATTCTGCAATATAAATTTGTTTTTAAAATACTTTTTGTCCAAAGCAAGTTTGCATTGCGATATAACTTAGAAAAGGAATTTATGAAGGACTCAATTTGGATTTTACTTATGAGTATACTTTGATTTTAAAAAAATAAAAGAGTGTGGAGAAAGGCATTTTTAATTCCAACAGTTATAAAGTGATTTAAATGTTACTGCTGGGGCAGTGCACTTTAATGATATGACATTCTACTTTTTTTTTTTTAAATAGCGGTTACTTTTTTTTTTTAATATATTTTTTATTGATTTTTCACAAAGAGGAAGAGAGAGGGATAGAGTTAGAAACATCGATGAGAGAGAATCATCGATCAGCTGCCTCTTGCACAACCCCTCCTGGGGATGTGCCCGCTACCATGGTACATGCCCTTGAGCGGACTCGAACCTGGGACCTTTCAGTCCGCAGGCCGACGCTCTATCCACTGAGCCAAACCAGTCCCGGCGACATTCTACTTTTTATTCAGTACTAGTATCCCTGCGTGTGTGCCAGTAGCTCTCTTCTACCCTCTTGTAGCTCCCCCCCTCCCCTGCCCTTTAGCTCTCCACTGCCCACTTGTAGTTCACTACCCTACCCTCCTGCACATCCATGATCCAGTAGCTTAGCCTCAAGGTGTAACATAATTAGCATATTCCTATATAATAGGTAAACATAATTTATTATATAGGTAAACCTTGTTAAGCAAAGGAAATTTGCAAAGTGTTTGAATAATGGCTGTGTTAGTATAAAACCCAGCAGAACAACATAGGACTGGTTTTTGCCCACAATAAGTTTATCTGACTTAATAGCTTTCAGATTTCATAATTTCATTATGATTAATAGATTTTAATATAAGATTTTACAGAGAATTGTTTCCCAAATATATGTACTGTCAGATATTCTTGAGAAGTTTTAATGAATTTGGATTTTGTAAGGTTTGGTGACATTGCACTTATTACTCATTGGTTTCACTTGACTGCATCTTACAAACTCTTCAGATTTGAAAATCATTGAAAAGATTATAATTGAGATTGGCTTATCATGCTGTATGAAAAAAATCAACCCCAAGGAAAAAAATGAAATGTTTTATAAGAAATAAAACTATTATTTTTAACTACTGAACTAACTTAAAATTTTAGAGTCTGCCCCCAATTCTCCAAGAATTGAAAGTCCACTGAACCCAAAGAAAAGTACTGAAACAAGTAATCTCCAAGCAATGACTAGAGTTTTGTCTACCAGTTTGCCTGACTTGGACTCAGAACCTTGGATAGAAGAAAAAAAGAGACATCGTTCATCCCCAGTGAAACTGAATGTAAGTTGTTATAAACCAAGTGAACTGTGATAAATTTTGTCATACACACGCACACACACACACACACATTAGAAAACATTTTTAGAAATTGTAAAAATTGGAACCATTGATCTTCAGTAAAAACTTGTGGGTTACTCATTAGCTAAAAATAAATTATGTGGCATCAGCTTTTAAAATTTATCTTATCTGCCGACACCGGTTTGGCTCAGTGGATAGAGCATCAGCCTGCAGACTGAAAGGTCCCAGGTTCGATTCTGGTCAAGGGCATGTACCTTGGTTGTGGGCACATCCCCAGTAGGGGGTGTGCAGGAGGCACTGATCGATGTTTCTCTCATTGATGTTTCTATCTCCCCCTCTGTTTAAAAATCAATAAAGTATATATTTTTAAAAATAAAATAAAATTTATCTTTTCTGGATAAGATTTCACTTTTTTACTTGTGACTAATTTAAATTTTAATACTTCCATTTTTAAAAGCTGACAACCTAGGTTTTTTTAACAGTATAAATTTTTAATTTTATAACCTTGTTATATTATTTGTAATCGTGTAAATTATTTTTAAAGTTCGTATACAAATAACTACTTGTAAAGGGTAAATAACAGAATTTTTTATGTTTTGGTGATGCACAATAGGAAAGGGAAAGATAATTGATTTCTTGGTGGGAGTGAGATGGGTGTGGTTAGGAAACAATAGGAGAGATCCCTATGATAGTACTGTATTTTTGGTGGCTGGATGCATGATCTCTCCAAAGTGATAAAAATTGCTGTGCTCTAAACCACAAACACAAATGTTCAAATAACACTGGGGGAATCTGAATAAGATTGATAGGTTATGTCAGTGGGTATCTTGTTTCTGATATTGTACTGGATAAAGAATAATTGAGATCTCTGTTATAACTATGTGAATGTGCATACATTTATCTTGAAGTGAAAAATTTATTAAAAATAAACTTGTAAACAGTGCCATTAAATTATTTGAATAGTGAAAATAAGCTCTATAAGGAAAATCTCACTAAAAATAATTGGGCACAGATGTAAAAAGGATAAGAAAGCTATCATATTGAAAGTTATTATAAATAGCTCTCTTTATTTTTTTTGAATTTTAATAACTCTTTATTGTTCAGATTATTACAATTATTACTTTTTTTCCCCCCTCCATAGTTCCCCTCCACCAGGTTCCTACCCCACCTTCTGCCCTTACCTCCCACCCCTCACTGTCCTCATCCATAGGTGTATGATTTTTGTTCAGCCTCTTCCCACACTCCCCACTCCCCCTTTCCCCTAGAATCATCAGTCCACTCCTTTTCTATACCCCTGATTCTATTATGTTTACCAGTAATACTGTTCATCAGATTTTTTATTCCCTTGGTTTTTAGGTTCACTTGTTGATAGTTACATATTTGTTGTTCGTAGTTTTTATCTTTATCTTCTTCCTCTTAAAGAATACCTTTCAGCATTTCATATAATTCTGGTTTGGCGGTGATGAACTCCTTAGCTTCTTTTTATTAGCGAAGCTCTTTATCTGGCCTTCGATTCTGAGTGATAGTTTTGCTAGATAGAGTAATCTTGATTTTAGGTTCTTGCTGTTCATCACCTTGAATATTTCTTGCCACTCCCTTCTGGCCTGCATAGTTTCTGTTGAGAAATCAGCTGACAATCGTATAGATGCTCCCTTATAGGTAACTACCTGCTTTTCTCTTGCTGCTTTTAATATTCTCTCTTTGTCTTTTGCTCTTGGCATTTTAATTATGATATGTCTTGGTGTGGTCCTCTTTGGATTCCTTTTATTTGGGTTCTGTGCGCTTCCTGGACTTGTAAGTCTACTTCTTTTACTAGGTGGGGTAACTTTTCTGTCACTATTTCTTCAAATAGGTTTTCAGTATCTTTCTCTCTTCTGGGACCCCATAATTCTGATGTTGGTATGCTTGAAGTTTTCCCAGAGGCTTCTTACATTATCTTCAACTTTTTGTATTCTGTTTGCTTTTTACTTCTCTGGAGGAGTGTTTTTTGCTTCTTGGTATTCCAAATCTTTGACTTGATCCTGGGATCCTCCAGTCTGCTTTTAGGTCTCTGTATAATATATTTTTATTACAATCAGTATGCTTAATTTCTAGTTGATCCCTGTTAAAGGTTTTTTTAAAATTTTATTTATTTATTTATTAAATGTATATTTTATTGATTTTTTTATAGAGAGGAAGAGAGAGGGATAGAGAGTTAGAAACATCGATGAGAGAAAATCATCGATCAGCTGCCTCTTGCACACCCCCTTCTAGGGATGTGCCTGCAACCAAGGTGCGGTACATGCCCTTGACTGGAATCGATCCTGGGATCTTTCAGTCTGCAGGCCAACGCTCTACCACTGAGCCAAACTGGTTTCGGCTGATCCCTGTTCATATCCTCAAGGGTCTCGTTTAATTTATCAGCCTTTTCTAGGAAATTCTTGAAAAACCTTATAACTGTAGTTTTGAACTCTATATCCAGTCTTTTGCTTTCCTCCATTTCCTTCAATTGAGGCCTGCTGCCTCTTTGTCTCCCCATTTTAGCTACTTCCCTGAGTTTGTGTGCTAGGTGTCCTAGCAGGGCCCAGTAGCTCCACCTCCCTAGTTACCTGTGGTGGACCCTTTTGGTGCAGCTCTTTGTGGACTGTATGTGCAGTCTTGTAGTTAAGCCTTGCTTGTTGTTGGTACCACTGGGGAGAGTTGATCTCCAAGCCAAATGGCTGTGAGCATCAACAGTGTCTCGGCTAAGAGGGCTTCTGTTCTCAGCTTGGATGGGGCGGAGTCTCAGAGTCATTCAGACAAGCTTTGGTTTCCTGTCAGCCCCGCCCTAAGAGGGTCCTGTTTTCAGAGTCCTGCGGCAATGGCTGCTGGCCTCACGCACCTCTTGAGAGAAGGCTGCTCTAGAGCTTCACCCGCTACCAGACAGTCCAGTTTTTCTCCGACCGGAGCTGGCTATTAGTGCAGTTGGGAAGTTTTGTTTTTCTCCTGAATGAGAACACTAGCCACTGGGAGGGCTTCTGTGCTCAGCTTGGATGGGGCGAAGTCTCAGGGTGGCGCAGACAAACTTTGGTTTCCCATCAGTCCCACCCTAAGTGGGTCCTGTTCTCAGAGTCCTGAGGCAATGGCTGCTGGCCGCGTGCGCCTCTGAGAGAAGATTGTTCTTGAGTTTCGCCTGCTGCCAGACAGTCCTATTTCTCCCCGACTGAGCTGGATATCAGTGCAATCAGGAGATTTTGTTTTCCTCCCCAACAAGAAAGCTAGCTGCGCATTAGCTGACCGCCCTCTCTGCGTGCTGCAAAGCCAACAGCATATTCAGCCACCCGCCCTTTCTGTGCACTTGGATCTCCGCACCTCCACAGCTCCTGAAGCTCAGTGTCCTTTTGTCTTTTTTTCTAGTTGGTAGAGCTTCTTCTCAGCCAGCTTTCTGGTGGTTCTGGACGATGTCCGCTCTGTTTTCCAGTTGTAATTTTAAAATTGTTGTGGTAGGACATGAGGTATTTACCTTATGCTGCCATCTTGGTTTCTCTGAACAGCTCTCTCTCTCTCTTTTTTTTTTTTTTTTAATATATTTTATTGATTTTTTTTTTTACAGAGAGGAAGAGAGAAATAGAGAGCTATAATAGAAACATCAATGAGAGAGAAACATCGACCAACTACCACTTGCACACCCCCTACCGGGGATGTGCCTGCAATGAATGTACATGCCCTTGACCGGAATCGAACGTGGGACCTTTCAGACCACAGACCGATGCTCCACCACTGAGCCAAACCGGTTTTGGCTGAACAGCTCTCTTTATCCCTAAAATTAAAGCATGAAGAAAGGAAACATGTAGGATTTAAGAATGGTTCTTCTGCCGGGACCGGTTTGGCTCAATGGATAGAGTGTCGGCTAGGGGACTGAAAGGTCCCGGGTTCGATTCCGGTTGCCGGCATATCCCCAGTAGGGGGTGTGCAAAAAGCAGCTGATCGATGACTCTCATCGATGTTTCTGACTCTCTATCTCTCTCCCTTCCTCTCTGTACAAAATCAATAAAATATATAAAAAAAGAAAAAAAAAGAAAAGAATGGTTCTCCTCCGTTGAACCTGGAGATATTGATATTTTTGCCTCACCAAAGGGCATTAGGCAGTTGTCTGTAGACATTTTTGGTGGTTACAACTGGGGAAGTGCTGCTGCATCTTATGAGTGGAGCCAGGGAAGTTGCTAAACATCCTAGAGTGCATAAGACACCCTTTTATACACACACACACACACACACACACACACACACACACACACAATTATTAAGCCCAACATGTCAGTAGTGCTAAGTTTGAGAAATTCTGACCTAAGATAATGTCTTAATTTGCAATAATAGTTAAGTATAGCACACTTAAATGTTAAAAGAGTTTTATTTTTCCTTGGGGGCATTTGAGAAACCTAACAAACCTTTTCCAAATGTGATTTTTTAAAGATCCTGATTTTTATATCTGTCATGGCAAACCTGGATTACTAGAGAGAGTAGTGTCCTGGACTGGTTGACAAAAATTTACCATATTTATACTAAGAGCCAAATTTTCTCTTCATATTTAAAATCTCCAAATTTAAACATTTCTTTTAAAAATAATGGTTCATTTTTCAATTTGGTTATGTGATTTGTTAAAAATGATAGGAAAATTTTTATTAAAAAATGCCAATTTCTTCTTTTAGGAATCAGCATCTCTATCTGAAGAGGCATCAAATCAACCATATCCTCCAGATGAACAAGAGCAAGAAGAACTTGATTTTTTATTTGATGAAGAGATGGAACAAGTAGAAAAACAAAAAAACACATTTATTGATTGGTCTGATAATGATTCAGATTATGAAATAGATGACCAGGATTTAAACAAGATTTTGATTGTAACTCAGACACCACCTTATATGAGAAAACATCCTGGAGGAGATCGAACAAGCAACCACATGTCTCAGGCAAAAATTACATCTGAACTTGCTAAAGTTATCAACGATGGCTTATATTATTATGAACAGGATCTGTGGATGGAAGAAAATGAAAACACACACACAGCCATAAAGGTAATTGTTTCTGGCCAACATCTTTCTGCTGATACTATGGCTTGACAGTGTGTTTGTTGCTTATATTTTCCTAAACTTTAAATTTTATTTTATGGGTCTTTATTTTAGAAAAATTTAAATATAAATAAGTTATACTTAATTTGGAAATTTCCAAGAAATATATCTGATAATCCAAAACTGAGAAATATCTTATTAAAATTACAGTGAAATAAATACTTAAATTACAAAGAATATATTAGCACTCTGAAATAAGTCAGTTAGAGAAAGATAATCACATGATCTCGTTCATATGTGGAATCTAAGTAACAAAATAAACTGATGAGTGGAATGGATCCAGACACATGGAAGCATGGAACAGAGGGTGGAATCTTGGAGGGAAGGTGGAAGAGAGTAGGTGGATGGGAGGTAATCAACCAGAGACCTTGTATGCATATATGCATAACCCATGGACACAGACAGTAGGGTGGTGGAGATGGGAGGCAGGGACGTGCTGTAGGGAGCTAAATGGGGGGGAGGGGGAGGGACAAATGTAATACTTTCAACAATAAAGAATTATTGAAACAAAAAAAATAGAGCTTGGGGCTCAATATGATCATTGAAAAAAATTACAGTGAAATAAATACTTAAATTACAAAGAAAATATTAGCATTCTGACTAAAATCCTTGCTTTTTTTTTTTTTTTTTTAGGTGAAAATAATAAGCCCCTTTCTCAAAAGGAATATAACCTTAAGTTATAGACAGGCTTAGTTTACATGCTCATTCCTCACTTTGCGATGGTCACCACAGCTATATGAGAGGGGCTTCTGAGCTGGGTTACTTTTTTTATTTTATTTTACTTTTTTAATATATTTTATTGATTTTTAACAGAGAGGAAGGGAGAGGGATAGAGAGTTAGAAACGTCGATGAGAGAGAATCATCGATCAGCTGCCTCCTGCACACCCCCTACTAGGGGATGTGCCCGCAACCAAAGTATATGCCCTTGACCGGAATCAAACCTGGGACCCTTCAGTCCACAGGCTGATGCTCTGTCCACTGAGCCAAACCGGTCTCGGCTGAGCTGGGTTACTTTTGTTGCCTCCTTCCACCTTAGTCTATGATGCATTCTGTGATAGTAGAGCTGTGTGGACAAATGTAGAAGATTAAACTGGATGATTGTTTTTCATTCTCCAGTCATTGCTGTGGTGCGTGGGGTGCTATTTGAAACCTTGTTCCTTTTATTTTAATTTAATTTTTAAATCTTTTTTTATATTATTCTGATACCTATCTCTATTATTAAGGTAATATATGAAATTACCAGTGTAGTCAACTTGCCATCTGCATTTTTATATGAATTTTAATGGGACGGGTAGTTAGTAAAAGGAATCTTTTCTGCCTTTAAAATTGGTCAGAAACCCCCCAAAGTTAAGTATTTGTTTTGAGTTTAGAACAATGAGGGGAAAGTTTTAAAATTATAGTATAGGAAATAGGAAAGAGAAAAGTCATCCACCTAGTGGTTAAATAGGGGGACTGGCTTTCCATGGAGTTTCATATCACCAATAAGAAGTATGCTTTCCTTGTCTTCATTTTTTTTCTTCTTGGAATTCCCATCAGTGTTTTCACCCACTTCTCTAGCCACTGCATTTTTGGAGACCTGGCCTCAGGATATGGTAGCTTGTCAGTGACTTAGAGCTGAGCAGTTTTTTCTGTCCTGCAGTGAGAAAGAAAGTTTGTTTTTATAATTTTTTTTTTCATTGAAAGTCTTCCCTTGTGTAATCATTGTTACTTTATTTGTAATACTTAGGTTTTATAAGTAATATCTAATTTAAATCGTTTTGGGGACTGAAAAAGCTAGAAAAAAAAAAGTAATAATAGGTTAAAATTGCACTCCATTCATCGTTATCACTCTACCCTGCTTTGTTCTTCAGCATCTACCATTCTGTACATTGCACTTCTTTTCTGTTTTGATCACGTGGATATAAGATCTATGAGGATAGTAATTTTTGTTTTATTTTGCACATTACTATATCTCCAGTGCTAGAACAGTTCCTGGCACAAAGTTGTGCTCAATTCATATTTATTGAAATGGATAAATGAATTATGGATTAGACATTCTGTACTAACCAAAGGAATTTAGCCACTGTATATAATTTGGTCCTGTGGGAAAATATTTTTAGAGTTCTAAATAATGAACTTTTATGCCACCTTGAGAAGCGTGGCCTATTTGTAGGTGATTATTTGCTTTAAAGTGTAGATAATAATGAAAGTCATGTACAGAGTTAATTCAAAACTTAGAGCTCTATGACTCATAAGCATTGTGTGTCTATTTGTGTTTTATTTTAGCCTGTTTCCTACATACATTCCTATCACCTAACTTTTTCTTATTTATAATTCCTGTCGTAGTCTTTAAAGAGAGAGAAATCGATAATTTCATGTTTATATCTCATACTATGTGCCAGATACTGCTAGGTCCTAGAACTGGAATGGGAATATAATAATGGTGTGTCTGCATACCTCGTTCTTACAAATAATTGGTAGGGCAGACATTGAAACAAACCCACAGTAAGTACTTAAACACAGATTATGATAAGTATTCTGAAGGAAAAGAAAAAGCCCTAGCCAGTTTGATTCGGTGGTTAGAGTGTAGGCTCATGGACTGAAGGGTCCCGGGTTTGATTCCGGTCAAGGGTGAGTACCTCACTTTCAGGCTTGATCCTTGGCTTTGGTCAGGGGAAATATCTTCAGGTGAGGATTAACAACAACAAAACAAACAGGAAGTTTTTGGATTGGATTGTCAAGCAGTGCCTAATGAGAAAGTCAAAATTATAGTCAGTTCTGAAGTATGAGTAAGAATAAACCATGCAAAGAGGAAGTAAACCATATTATAGGAAGAGGGCAGCAAGTCAGTGATTTTTTATTTGCTTTTTATATATTATATTTTTATTGATTTCAGGGAGGAAGGATAGAGAAAGAAACATCAGTGATGTGAGAGTAGCTTTGATTGGCTGCCTCCTGTATGCCCCAAACTGGGGATTGATCCTGCAACCCAGGCATATGCCCTGACCAGGATTCGAACCATGACCTCCTGGTTCATAGGCTAACGTTCAACCAATGAGCCATGCCAGCCTGATCAAGTTAGTGTGTTTATTGTATTATGTAAGAGGACAGTTATGGATATATATAGGCAGGAGTCTGATCATACAAGGCTTTTTTGGCCATGTTAGTTTTTAAATTTTACCTTAAGTTTAAAACCAGGACTTTAAATGGTTTTACAGAGACAACAGGACATAATTAGTTTTATTTTTAAAAGATCACTCTGGTTAATATAGTAGAGAATGAATTAGATGGGGACAAGACTGGAAGAAGAAATCCAATTGAGAGGCTATTAAAGTAATGGATGTTGGTAATTTAAGGTAAATTGATGGCAGAGGAAAAATAGAAATGAGAACACCTGGATCTGAACCCTGATGAATGATCATTTAGGAGTGGTATAGGAAAATGTTGTATAAGCAAAAAACTGACTTCAAGATGAGAGAATAATCAGATGTGTCAGAAAATAGAGTTAGATGTAAAAGAAAAGAATGCCAAATTGATAGGATAGTTTGATGATCAATCACTTGATTTTGCAAAAACAAAACAAAACAAAAAAACCCTAAACAAAACAAAAAATAACCACTTGTTGCTGAATCCAGAAGCAGTATTGAACTTCACCAAAGAGTGAGTATAGGCTTTCTCTTTCTGACTTGTCCTTACTTGCTAAAGACATAAATAAATAAATAAATAAATAAATAAATAAATAAATAAATAAATAAATTAAAGCCTGCTAATAGGTAAAAAAGCATCATCTTAAAAATCATTGATGATCTTCAAGGTAAGTTATTACTAAAGTCTTAGAGAACTAGAATATTAAAACTAGTTTTGCTGTGGAGACCATTTTGGAAACAGGGGAGTTTGAAGAAATCAGCTGTGCTAAAGCCACCTAATGTATAGAGGTAAAAGACATAAACAACGGGCCTAACCACAGCTAGGGATTCCAACCAGTCCTTTCCCAGTAAATTGGTACCCACAAGAAATACACCCTCAATGGGAGAAAATTTAACTTGCTTTCTCACCTATTCCTCTGGGGGACTAATAAGAATAGCTACCTAGTTGTGCTGAGTAGAACAAGGAGAAAATAAATTGATTAGAAGTTTATAATCATGCAAACCAAACACTATCTGGATGACTAAAGTAGCCATTAGTCATAAATTTAATGTGATTCAGTTTGCCAGAAACTTATCAGAAGTAAATGTATCTCCTTTGTGAAGACATTCACCTTTATGCTATACTTCAAATAATTTACTCAAATTATTGTATAAGGAAAGTGAGCAGCTCACAAGACAGTTTACAAGAAAGTGCAGAGGTAGAACATATGAAAGAAGGTATGGAATGATAAGTCTGCTATTTTTTGGTACATTTTAAATCAAATTGTATAACTTAACATCTAGTAGGTTTTATTTAAAGAATTTTTTGTTTTTGGCTCCAGTGGTGTGGTTCAATGGTTGAGCATTAGCATACAAACTAGGAGGTCACAGGTTTGATTTCCAGTCGGGTATGCTTGAGTTGCAGGTTGGATCTCTCTCATCATTGATGTTTCTATCTCTCCTTATCCTTCCTCTCTAAAATCAATAAAAATACATTAAATTTTTTAAAATTCTATTTAAAAAAAATAAAAGGTAAAAAGCAAGTACGAAATGAGAATTATTGAGTGGTAAATATGGCTTGCTGAAACCAGTTTGGCCGAGTGGATAGAGCATCGGCCTGTGGACTGAAGGGTCCCGGGTTCGATTTCAGTCAGGGGCATATACCTTGGTTGCGGGCACATCCCCAATAGGAGGTGTGCAGGAGGCAGTTGGTCAATAATTCTCTCTCATCCATGTTTCTAACTCTCTATCCCTTTCTCTTCCTCTCTGTAAAAAAGTAAATAAAAAATATGGCTTAATTAGAGTTTCAGAAGGAAAGGAGAAAGAAGATGGGGGAGAGT